AAGGAATCAACAACAGAATTGATGAGGCAGAGGGTCAAATCAGCGATTTGGAAGACACATTAATAAAAATACCCAATCATAGTAGCAAAAAGAAAAAAGGATTTTAAAAAGTTAAGACAGTTTAAGCAACCTCTGGGACAACATCAAGCATAACAACATTAGCATCATACAGGGACCAGAAGGAGAAGAGAGAGAACAAGTATTGAGAACCTTTTTAAACAAAAAATGCCTGAAAACTTCCCTAACTTGGAGAAGGAAAAAGAACACAAGTTCAGGAAGTACAGAGTCAGTCCCAAACAAGATGAACTCTTAAGAGGACCACACCAAGGCACATCATAATTAAAATGTCAAAGGTTAAAGACAAAGAAAGAATGTTAAAAGCAGCAGAGAAAAGCAGTTAGTTACCTACAAGGAAGCTCCCATAGACTGTCAGCTGATTTCTCAACAGAAACTGCAAGCCAGAAGGGATTGGCACAAAAGATTCAAAGTGATGAAAAGCAAGGGCCTACAACCAAGATTATTCTACCCAACAAAACTATCATTTAGAAGGACAGAACTTCCCAAACAAGAAAAAAGCTAAAGGAGTTCACCACTGCCAAACCAGTATTACAAGAAATGTTAAAGGGTCTTCTTTAAGAAGAAAAAAAGATAAAAAAAAATATGAACAATAAAATGGCAATAAATACATTTCTAACGACAACTGCTTTCGATACAAATGAATTAAATGCTTCCATCATAAAACACAGGATGGCTGCATGAATAAGAAACAAGACCCTTATATATACCTTCTACAAGAGACTCAATTCAGATTGAAAGACACACGCAGACTAAAAAGTAAGGAATGGAAAAATATATTTCATGAAAATATAAACAAAGAAACAAACAAAAAAGCTAGTGCAGCAATACTTATACCAGACAAAACAGACTTTAAAACAGAGGCAAAGAGGACTGACCAATCCACTTCTGGGTATCTATCCAAAGAAACCCAAAACAGTAAATAGAAAAGACACATGCATCCCTATGTTCACTGCAGCATTATTTACAATAGCCAAGCTATGGGAGGTAACCTAAGTGCCCATAAATAGATTAGAAGATATACATAGACACGAAGGAACATGACTCAGCCATAAAAAAGAATAAAATCTTGCTATCTGGAACCACATGGATGGACCTAGAGGGTACTGTGCTGAATGAAATAAGTCAGACAGAGAAAAATGCCATATAATTTCACCTGTAAATGGAATCTAAAAAACAAAATAAATGAACAAGCAAAATATAAACAGACTCATACAGAGAACACTTACACATCTGCCAGTTGAGAAGGAGGCTGGAGGTTGTGTGAAAAAGGTGAAGGGATCGGGAAGTACAAATTGGTATTTATAGAATAGTCATTGGGATGTAAAGTAGCACATAGGGAATATAGTCAATAATATTGTAACAACTACATATGGTTCCAGATGGATGATACTACATTTATCAAGGAAGACCACTTTGTAAGTTATATAAGTGACTAATCACTGGGTTATACTCCTAAAACTAATATAATATTGTAAGTTAACTGTAAATAAAAAATAAAAATTTATTTTTAAGAAAAGTAAAAAGCTACAGTATACAAAGTTATATGCCATAGAGAAATAAAAGCACATGTCCATACAAAGACTTATATACAAATGTTCGTAACAGCTGTCTTCATAGTAACGGAAAACTGGACACAACCCAAGTACCCACCAAAAAAGTGAACGGATTGACTGTACTATAACCATACCATGGAATGCTGGTCAGCAATAACAGAGATGAATCTCAAATAATCCTGCTGAGTTAAAGAAGCCAAACCACCCCCCAAAACATGCAAACTGTATAATTCCAATTATATAAAATTCTAGAAACCACAACCTAATCTAACACAAAAAGGTGACCAGTGGTCAGGGGCTGGAGAGAGGGGACTGAGTGCAAAGGAGCTTTGGGAAACTTCTGCCGTGATCACTGTGGTGGTGTTTACAGAACTGTGAACATTTGTCCAAACTCATCAAACCATACACTTAAAATTGGTGAATTTTATATAGTGTATAGATTATGCCTCAATATAAACAAAAGAAAGCCATAAGGCAACACCATGTCTTCTACAAAGGCATACCTTCTGCTTTCCATACTCATGGCAAGAATGCAGACAAGAACTACCACTCAGTGTTGTCAAGAAATCTTTATTACAACATGAGACTTTTGAAAACTCAGCATGATGAAACAACCCAAAACTGCTACTGGTTCTTTTATATCTCTGTCTCCTTCACCTAAAGACTCACAGAAACCTACAAAAGACTTTTTCAATTTTGAAATCCTACAAAAGAGATTTTCATACTTATTCTAGGTAAAATTTAATAAGCAGCACAGAGATTAACTAGAAAATCTGTTAACAAGCTTATAACTGGCCACAAGGTTATTACCTAAACCTGCAAGGTTCCAGATAACTGTGTTTTTTTTAAAAAAAAAAAGTGGAAAGGAGATTTAAGAGGATGCAAGAGATTTTATGCTAAAATTTATGCAAAATTTAACAATGGTATTTTCAAGGATTCTAATTCTACTCCTACAGAAAGAACCCTGCAAGGATAAAGAATATAGAGATTATTCCTCAAAGCTGAACGTAAGGAAACATAGAGAAGACATCTCTAATTTTTATCTCATGATGTTCTCTCAGGAGGGTACTATTTACTTGGCTAATTCTTCTGGGGAAAGATGTTTTTCTCCTTCAGTCTCAAAAACTAATAAATATTGTACTTGTTTTAGAATATTAAGCACAGATACTTTTTAAGTATACCGTCATGTTGGTATACCTTATACCCTCACACATTAAAATTACAATCTGCAACATAAGCAATAAATGATGGCAAGGAGAAGAAAGGCAGTGTAAGCAATTGCCAAGTTCAGAAAACCAGCAATATGTAGCATGCATATTATATGGACTTGGTTAATTGTGAAGCAATGTGCTACTTTATGTTCTAATTTACATTGTCATAAAAGTTAGTTCAGTAAATAGCTCACCGCCGAAGAAAAGATATTTTAAGATCTGAACTGGATTAACTTTGCCTTTGGTAAAGTAAGAATACTAGCAATTATCATTGGCAATGTTTGCTCTTCGAGTTCCACACACATTTATATTTTCAAGCCTTTATGGCGTCTACCCCTTCTACCTATCCTTCTTCCACTTAGGATGTTCTCTCCTTTTAGCCCACCTGTCTGGATTTTTCCCATCTTTGACCACCTGTCTTTAATTGGTACATGTTCCCTGATCCCTTGAGCCAGAAGCAATCTGTGTCTTCTGAAATCCCATAGCTCTTTTCTAGTCTCTTACGGCACTTAACACTTTCTATCTCGTACAAATCCAGGAAACTCTCATCTACTAGGAGTATCCTTGAAAGAAAGGCCCACACTTTATTCAGCCCTGTATACCTCATAGCACTTCATGCCTGGAACTAAACATATATTGGGTGTACTGCCTAGAATGGAGAGGAAAACATTCAACAATGTACCCTGCTCTGCCTTAAACAAATACCAACGACAGAGACCAGTTTTAGATGTACTTACTAGAGACACAGACATATAAACAGATTGATACAATGTAACTTATAGTGTTATAAAAGATGAACAGGGTGCTATGAGGGGAACATTACATACATCGAAAATCAGCTTAATTACATAAATCATATTAGGAAACTAAGTCTGGATTTTTGAAGGGCGCGATGACTACAAAGGTTTCAAAAGTGCTATAATAAGGGCCCCTTAATCTTAAAAAGTATTTCTTACACTACACCTGTACAACCACTTTACTTGCAAACAGGGAGTAGCAGATTTCCCTCTGTTCTCAGTGCAGCCCTCTACCAGGCCTGGTCTATTATCTTTAAACAATTTTGCTCATCCCATACTTCTTACGTCTGTCTCAGCTGTCCGCCATCTCCAAAAACCATGGCAAGCACTTCTCAAGACCTACTTCTTGAGCTCTCTATTACACATTACTATATCTTCCAAGTGTATATCATATTATCACTACTACCTGTAATTTTCCTTTTCAACAATGAGTGGTAATAATAAAGTTAATTCATAACCTTTTATATAATTTAGAGTTAGGCAGAAGTGGCCTCAAATCCCAGATGTGCTACTGACTTGCGATGTAAAGTTGGGCAAGTTACAAAACTTCCTTCAACTTCAGCTGCCTCGTCATTAAAATTAGGATTAACTTGGGGCGATGTGTACAAAATGCCTACTTTTAATGTATCATACATACATACATTACATACATACAGACCTAATTTTTATTACTATTTATTTTCCAAGAAGAGAGATACAAACTCTTTAAAAGGAGCAAGAGCAATGAAACATAAAGTGGGTACTAAAAATTGGACCGGATAAGTTAATACAAAGGAGACTCACAGCCTTTAAATGGACCCTCAAGACAACTCACACAAGACACTTTCAGTATAATTTCTCGTATGTCTCCTACTGTAAACCATAAAGAACTCAAAGGCAAAAAGACAGCCAGAAAAAGGTCCTACTGGCGGCCCTAACACTGACATCCTTCTCAAGAATCTGTCTGCCTCGATGCAAATAAATGACGCTGTATAAAATGGTCGAGAGAAGAAGTATTATCTATTACATAAATAAAATAATACATAAATTATTTCTTTAATCTGCATATCCCTCGGAAGCAAACGCAACCACTTCTGCAAATTTCAACCTCAGAAGAGAAAGTCCCAATGGGACGGAGGCTGAGTCATCAATTGAATCGACCTCTGCAGCACTGGGGAATGGAAACACAACCTCCTGTGGGGTCCCGGGCATCCCTCGATAAGCCCCCCACCCCAGCCTTCCTGAAGCCCCCACCTCCGACGCACGTCCCTGCACCAGCGGTACCCAGTCCCACTCTCGGCTCTGACCTGGGCTCAGGGCCCCCACCCCAGCCCCTCACGTCTCAATTCTGGATCCTACCCAAGCCTGACACCAGCACTCACCCGGGCAGTGACTTTATACACCGTGTAGCCCCTTGGGTGTCGCTGAGGCTCGGTGACAGTGTAGAAACGGGCCAAGTCGGCACCCCGCTCCCGGGGAGAGGTCATCCTCCCGCCGCCTCTGCCGCCGCCGCCTGCCGGGGACCATCAGGGCAACCCGGCGCCGAAGATCTCCGGGCTCCCCAAACGGCGGCGGAACGGCGGCCCAGCTGCTTGGGGGCGGTGGCTCCGCCGCGGCACCTCCCACTGCTCTGCTTCCGGGTCGGCAGAGAAGCTTCCGGGTCAGACAGCTTCAGGTGTCTGGGGAGAAAGAGACCTCGTTTTAGGTTCTGAACCGCTTGCGGACTTGGGTTCGGCAAGTCGGCGAGGACTAAGTGGTCATACCGCTACTCTGGTCACTGCGGAGAACTGAGACATCTCTACTAAGTCTCCGCTCCGTCGCCCTCGAGAGTCTCTGACCGCCGCGGTAGCCACAACCGGCCCCTGACAGCTTGGTCCGCCACACCGCCCGGCAGGCCCGGCCTGTGCACTCTCGGAATTGAGGGTTGGAGAGAGACGCCAGCCGAGCGTCTTCTTTCCTTCCCTACGCACGCTCTACCATTTTTAAAGACCCTGTCGTTTTTACCTCAAATTTAAAAATATTTACACTGAGATACCACCTTAGAACTGCAATAACGGCTGCATTTTCTAAAGTGTCATCACAATATTGATGAAGACAGGAGTTCCGGTTGAATCTTTCCTAGGTTGCCAGTGGGAATTCAAAATGATACAGCCACATTGGGAAACAGATCAGCAGTTTCTTATTGCACAAACATACCCTTATTAGACGTCCCGGCAACCCAGACCTAGGTACTTACTCAAGGGGAATAAAAATACATGTCCATATAAAGACCTATATGTGAATATTCATAGCAGCTTTATTCATAATCGTCAAATGCCCACCTAACAATGTGGTAGCAGAATGACTAAAGGAAAAAAGTACTGATAATAACATCAATTTCACTCCTGGATATAGACCCCCCCAAAAAATGAGTAGGTATATCTGTTAACAAAAAACACATTGTAAAAAGTGTTCTAAGCATGATTATTCACAAGATCCAAAAAGTTGACACAACCCAAGTGTCAATCAGCAGTAATTATGGTATAAAATCACACTATGGGATATGCAAAACAGCGAAAAAGAATCAACTCCTGCTACATTCATCAACAAGGATAAATATTACAACATAATGTTGAACATAAGAGACCATGTATAAGAATACATAGTCTATGATTCCATTCACATAAAGTTCAAGAACAATGAGAAATCTATGGTGATAGAAGATAGAGGCTTTGCATAGAATGAGGGTGGAGGAGTGAAAGCTATAATGGGAATTGTCTGGGAAGCACAGGGGAGACTTCTGGGATACTGGAGAAGTTCTTAATCTGGTTAGTGGTTACATAAGCATATATATATGAAAACATTTATCAAGCTAAACATTTAAGATTTATGCACTTTACTGTGTGTATGTTGTACCCCGATTAATAAATTTTTTAAAAATTAAGAAAATAAAAACTACCCTGGCCTTCCTAGCCCCCTCCAATTTATCCCTCATATTTCCATTAAAATTATCCATTTCTAAAGCATATGTCATTATGTTATGTTATAAAAGTCTTCAGTGGGTTCTGTAGCCATGAATGCTTTGTCATCATTTTCAGGATCCACCATGTCTGGTCCCTGCTCAACTGTCAGTCTCATTTCTCTGGGGTTCAGCCAAACTCTTTTCAGTCTGCACCTCCAGATCTTCAAGCCATCTGTTTCATTTGAAATCCACCCCAGCCTTCAGGAGTCAGCTCTCCCAAAGACTAATTTCTCTCTGAAGCCCTCTTTAACAGCCCCATCTTTTTTTTTCACCCAGAGGATTAGATGCTCCTCCGCTGCTCCCACATCTCTATTCCACATCTCAACAACAGCACCTATTCCTGGGTCATGATGTTTCTGTCGGCTAATTTAGGACAAGCTTTTATCCATTACACTGTGAGCTCCCTAGAGGTGAGAGCTGTTCTTCCTTCGTATTCCTACCCCCAGAATCTGTTGCAGTGGATGGAAGATAAGAGGTATTTGCAGAAAGCATGAACTGCGATGTTCTAAAGATATCTTTTCCTTTCAATCAAATTAAATATATTGTGATAATTATTTGTTTTATCTTCTTTGCCAAAGTCATTGACATATAACCACTGATAAGAGCTCCTGACCAAAATGAAATAACAAATGCACCTATGTTAAACTCATACCTGTATTATCAGTCAAAAGCAAAGAAACACAAGGTTTTGGGAAACCTTCGCTTCCTTGTTGCAGACTTTCCTTCCATTTCAATTCGATTTTTCAAAATACTGTAGTGGCTCTAAGACTTTCTTAAGTCTTTTTTTTTTTACCTCTTAGATCCCAGATTTTCCAGGTTTAAGTAACTATTTATGAACTAAAGATTCATTAAGGAGAATAAAGTGATACATAATTTATACTTTGATATTAGCCGTCATGAAGAACATACGCTGCAGCCAGCTAACGTCTACTTTTGCCATTGGGCAGAGTCAAAATACTTGGAAAAGGTACCACCAAATAACCATGTATTTGTTCATGATGTAGACTGACAAAAGATATGGTTTCTCTCCCCAAGTGGGTATTAGACAACCACAAAAAAAAAACGTGTTGCTGTTTCTTACATGCAGCTTTCTCATGCTTTTATGTACTGTCCCATTTCTTAGCCTCTTCTCCACATCCAAGGAATCTTACTGAGATTTGCCCTTGCTCTTGCATACCCTCCCAGCAAGATAACTAGAAGAGCCCTAAAACAGACCACAGCAGGCAGCAAGATTATTTGTCAGAACTGAGCTCAAATCCATCACATCCACAAGTGTCTGCACTATAGGAACTCACAAATCTGCAAAGCTCCCAGTCTGGGAATCAGAAAGGGACTAGGGGGTGGAGGGAGGAGAAGGGCTAACCCCAAGTTTGCATCCTGACTACCAGGTTCTTATCATTATTTCTTTTTAATTCTTTCCATAGGATATGTTTATTGATTTTAGAGAGAAGGAGAGAGAGAAACAGCGATGTGAGAGCATACACACCCTGACCAGGGATGGAACTTGCAACCTTTTAGTGTAGGGGATGACGCTCCAACCCAATGAGCTACCCAGCCAGGACCTATCATTAGTTTAAAAGCCTGGACAAGATTTTTTTATTTAATCAGCCCATGCAGGTCAAGAAATAAATGAGAAATTCTATCAAGGACTGGGTGCCGTAATGTTTTCATTGAGGGCCATCCCAGGATGGATTATACCCATGGAGGATTACATCAGCTTTCCAGACTGACTTACTGACTCCTGTGACTACTAACTACCCATCAATTTGCTCTGTTCTAGAGTAAATCTTTTGTTTGCCACTACTCTGGTGGGCTCAGATGTAATATTAGGCTGGAAAATTGAGACACAGTATGGAGAGAAAAAAAAAAAGGATTTCACAACCATGAGGATTTAGGAAACCACTGCCCCAGACTGCAAGGCTCTGTGGAGAACAAAGTCACCATGACAACCTGGGATATTTTTGAGAGTTGGTAGATGATACAGAAACATTTTCCTGAGTTTGGAGCTTGAGAGTGAATTATAATATGTGTAGGAGTTGAAAGACATTTGAAATTTAGTCTTTATCTTTTTAATTGCAGTCCATATGCTGCCAAATCTGTTCTTTAAGAACAAAAGGGCAAAAATAATTTTTTAGCCTATATTTACATATAAATGTTGGGTATGTATGTATATGATTATGTAACTTAATTAATTGGGAGATTTTCCTTAGCAATGGTACAGGTTTTTTGAAGAACAGAAGAAATTGGTATCAATCAATAGTTCAGAATTGGTTTTTATACATTGGCATACCCATTCAAGGCTAAAAAACCTGACTTTATATACTGAATCTATACTATATTACTCTTCATTTGATTTCATAACATTTTATCTTCTGTTTTGAATTTTCTCTGACAGTTTCCCAAAGGATTTGCATAAAGTTCTGTTATATGTATATTATCTAACCATTGTATGATAGTTCATTTAACCAATTTTATATTATGTATTTGTTTTGCATACAAAGTTGATGTAAAGTTAAACATTTCTGCCTATGTCTTATTACAGATTCTTCACAGCTATTATTTTATTTAATCTTCACAATATATCATAAGTATTATTATGTGGGAGTGACTTTCTTGCAAGTCCCCCCAAGTGCCACGGACAAGGATGAATATGGCGAGACATGATGTGATCTGTTTGGGGTGGAGAAGTGGGCTGTGGCCAGTTTCTCAGGGGAGACAAAGGCCAGCAGCAGCCAGTTTCTTAGAGGAGAAAAAGGCCCCAAGCCCCCTGCTCTATAGCCTTTTATTGGGTTCTAATACACAGAATACAGGGTGGCAAGGATCAAACAATAAATAATATTTCAAAGAAATCTGAAGGCTTACTATGAGTCGAGTCTGTCAGGAACAGTTTTAGGGTTTCCTGCTCGAACCCTTAACATATGAATGAAAGCACTCTTAGCAGAGCAGATTTCACAGGTTTATCAGGAAATCTTTGTGATGCCAGATTTTCCCCAGGACTCACTCTAGCAAGGCAAGGAGCTGCACCCCTCCCCATCAGGTATTCAGGCTTAAGGGGATTAGAACCAGAAAGCACTTCTCCCAGAGAACATGGGGACTCTGGCTATATGGGGGGGGGGGCAAGAGTCCATTTCTCTTTCTTGCAGCCCCCCAAGTCCTTCCAAGTGATCGAGTCTGGCTTAGGTTGCCCCCCGCTGTGAGGGGTCTTACCCCTCACTCATTTCCAACCAAGATTTGGGGGAAGGGAGAAGAAATTGAGGCAGTGTTTGCTGCCACAGACAGGCTTAGTCTCCTGCGGCTGGCATTCCAGAAGTCATCCCTTGCCCTTAGCCACAAGGGATCGAGATACAATTCCTAAAACCAGGCAGAGCGGTCTACAACATTATTATCTCCATTCACAGACAAGTGCGGAGTGGTGAAAAATTTAGTCGCCCAAAGTGCATGCTCCCTGCTGAGATATAGGGAAGCAAAGCCCTGCCTGCTTGTTTCAGCTCTCACACTATAAAGAAGTATAGTCTCCACAGTCTATTCAGCGCCATGTTTTTCACACTTTTGTGTTTTGTGTTGGTGACTTTTCTGTTTAAAACTGCCCCAAGGGTAGAGCTGAAGGGCTACCTAATGTTTCTAAGCGCAAGACATCTGTGATGTCCCCTAAGGAGAAACTGCCTGTGCTAGATAAGCTTCATTCAGACATGAGTCACAGTGCTATTCGCCATAAATTCAATGTTAATGAATAGAAAGTATATATTAAAGCATCTTTAAACCAAAACACATATAAAATAAAGTTATGTGTTGATAAGGTGATGAAGGTGTTGTGACCAGTGGTTCACAGGTACCTAGCACCATTACTCTTCAAGGAGCAATGGTTCCATATTGGCCAATTCAGTGTTGGTAGTAAAACATAACTATTACAAACAATGGGGATTGACTATATTTATAAGGGAGGAAAAGTTGTTCTTCGAATGCATCTGATTTCCATATTAATCCAAGAGGGTTAAAAAAAAAAAAAAGCCTTCACGAGAAATTACTCCACTGCTCTCCCAAAGAACCTGTAATATAAAAGTGGGGGTTTTGCCTCCCAGCATCCTTTGCCCCTTTGCTTTCTCCACTCTATTCTTGTGCAATTCTGTCTCCTGGGTGAAGTCTCCACTTTAAAAAAGCTTTCCAAGAATCTATAGTCATGTCGTTATAGGAAAATGAAGCAACCAGACACCAAGGGATTCTGGAGTACTAGGTTTATTATTAACATGTACGGGCTCAGAGGAGTCAATCTCCAAATTCTGAGCCCTGAACAAAGGATTCTTGGGGGTCATATAGCCTAGGGGTCTTCCTGTCTATGTGGCAAAGCGGGATACAGAAGCAGAATGCGATAATTAGTTCTATCTACGGGGCAGAAGCAGAGTACAAAGGCTAAATGTGAACATTGGTTCTACCAGTGGGGGTGCTAGTCCCAGTCCTACTGACTATCCGGCTATTTGCTTTTCCCATTTCCCAGACAGCCTTATCCTTCTCCTATGGCACCTGGGGTCTTAGGTGAGCAAAGGTCTCCTAGGGCTTCTCCCTTCAATGTAATAAATTTGATACAGATGGACACACACGACACATAGGTACATTTAAAAGAGAACTCTGTGATTACGTTCCCGCGGAATTAATTGCAAAAACTCGTGGTATCTCAGTTCTATGGGAACCCAGAAAAGGGTATTTCCCTACCTTGGGCATCCGCCTTCCGGATCTCCCAAGCACATTAAAAAAAAAAAAGAGAAAATAATTTTTTTCCTTCTTATTCTCATACAGTAACTACCCTGTACCGCCTCCCACAGGCCTTAAAGCTCGTCAGCAGTTTCTTTCTTTCTGTTTCCTTAAGACGCAGGGCGGGCGTTTTGCCCTCTTCAGAAATGGCTGCCCAGGCGTCACACCCACTGTGTTTAGTGCTCAGACGCAATTCAGGGACTTTCCCTGCGCAATATGGGGACTTGGCTGCCGACAATTCTGAACCTCCCAGCGTGCTTTGCAGCAGGGCCGTGAGGCCCGACGTCTGATGATGGGGAGCCCCAGGAGCTCTCGGCCGCCAAATCTCTCTTAGAGGTTGCTGTTGTGCTCAAGGCCTGTGAACCGGCCGGCCACAAAGGGGAAAGATGGAAGCGTGGCGCTGTGTGAGGAGGGGCTACGGCCGCTGTGTGGTGGGGAGAGGCCGGTCAGTAGGTCTGGGTGGCGGGAGGTGGGAGGGAGGGGCGGCCGGGGGCGGGGGCGGGCGGCCGGGGTGACCCGGGGCGGGGCGGGCTGGGAAAGGAAGGAGGAGGAAGAGGGTCGGGGCTGTGGTGGTGCCAGGACCGGCCTCCGGAGACCACCCCCCAAGGGATAGGTAAACCCGCCACTCAGCCGGCGGGGCGCCGGGCGGCGGGGAACCCGAGCTCAGGCGGGGAGCGCGTCGGCTGGGCTGGCGCCCTCCGGGCCAGGCTTGGCCTCGCAACCCCGGCTCACTTTCCGCAACCCAGCGGCCAAGGCAGCCTGAGCGTCTCCATCCCCGGCCTCCTCCCCGGGCTCCGCGGCATCTTCCGGGAGCTGATGGTCGGCGGGGAGGCCGCCTATCACAATAGGTCCCGGGGCGGCCTGACCCAGATGGAAGCGCGCGTGTCACACACGCGCGCGGTGCTTGGTTTGTTGATGTGTTTGTGTCTCTCAAACTTGAGTCATTCGTATTCCAGCGTTTCTGATTATTACCAAATTCCGTCCGCTCCTGTATTGTTTGCTGGATATTTTTCTTGAAATTGACTCACTTTGAAAAGCACCTAAGTGCTGCCTACACTAAAAGCAGTTACCTGCAAGATCTGGTCTTTGATGTACTGATTGTTTTTTATTCTTAACACATTTTAAAACAAATACTTAGATATTAAAAATCAAAACGTTTCATTGTGTACCGTGTGAAATTGACTGGTGTAACACGGGAAGCACAGCGCTGTATTATTACATAAATCATGGGGATTGGGCTTTAACTCCTCTAGTCCTGGGGCTTCTCGCCAGCCAGCTCAACGATGTTTTCTTGAGTACCAGCTGTGTCCCAGGCACTGTGCTAGGCACTTGGGAAGAGCCTTAATTAAAATAATTAAGGAAGTTCTGGCTTTGAAGTAGCTCATCGTTTTAAGAGGAAAAGACATCTGTATATATCAGGGTGGGGCAAAAGTAGGTTTACAGTTCATATAGAAAACAAATACAAGAATAAACTGTTCCGTATACTCACAACTGTAACCTACTTTTGCCTCACCCTGTAACTAACTACAAATACAGAGAATGTTTTGTGGCATTATTATACTTAAAAAGGGCAGCTTATTAGAATGGAAAAATGTGTTGAGCAAGTGCCCAGATTTCTATGGTTTTCAGAGTTGTCACAAAGCAATATAGTCTGCCCATGTCCTGCCTTTATAGAGATTAACGATTAAGTTGAATTTAGACAACAATTTGCAATATAGTCTGTCTGCCCATGTCCTGCCTTTATAAACGATTAAGTTGAATTTAGACAACAATTTGAAAATGCAGAAACCACAAAAATATAGAGTAAAAATTTAAATGTTAAAATGAAAATAACATGACATATAAACGTCAAGTGACAGAAAATACACTTTAGGCAGAATTCCTTTGATAATAGAAGTGGACATTATTGACACTACCTTGGAAATGTACCTTTAAGGAATTCTGGAGGAAAGAAGTCTTCAATCCTAATATTTTGAGAGAAGAGTATAATGAGATGGTGCCCAAGAGAGCCTGAGAGCACATACCTGTTCAACATAATAATAACACTACTTTGGAGATATTTGGGGTGGTAGGTTAACTTGGTGCTGCTGGGTTTGGAGAGTTTGTGAATTCTGAGTAAGCAATTTCTATCCTCTTCTGTTTCTGTCAAGGAGAAGCATGCTTCGAAAACAAAAAAAAAAGTGAAGTTGGGATGGGCTTTTGTTTTCTTAGCTATGCAAATGTTTTTAACCTTGGTGTAAACTGTTTGGAAATGTGTATTTACTCCAAACCAAGTTGGAAAAGAGATTCGCTTTAATGATATGCAGCTTACATATTCCATATTTGATTTAAGTATGGTGCTTGTTGTGGTTTTTATTTGTTGAGTTGTATCGGATGCTAGAAAGCTAATCTGAATACCATTTTGATGGCTGATTTATCTCAGTTGAACTGTGGACTTTTTGAAGTGTACTTGGTGTTTTGGGAGCCTCGTGGATTCCACACTAACTGTTAATACCATTCATAGTTGTTTAGGGAGAGTATTGAGCTACTGCTCTAACAGTTAAATTGCGGCTGCTTTTCCCACATCGTGCACAGATTTAGAAATCAGAGTTTAAATACTAGACCTGTTTTCCCTTGAGGAAACAGGTTCGGATTTTGTGTGCCAAAGCTGAACCTGAAGTGGTCCCTCAAGGAGTGTATATTTATTTCTTTCAGATACCCCATGTTACCCCATCACCAGAAGAGTCTGGGCAGAGACGGGACTGCACCGTGGGAGAATCCGCAGAGGTCATGCTGGAGCAGACATATTTCTAGTTGCATGAGGTGGCCTGGACATTATTCTCGTGCCCCTTACCCCTACTTCAGTAGCAGGCAGTTTGCATTAAATTGGAGACCACCTTATCTGTTTGAGTCCAGAACGCACTTTCAGTACTGGAATTGGAGACCTGACAACCTGAGCCAGACGTCTTTGATTCACCTGTCTGGTTACGTCATGAACTCTGAGGGAGATGAGCCTGCATCAAAACGAAGAAGACACCAAGGTAAAGGGGACGTTTATCTTGGTGTGCAAATAAACAGCAGCCATAGGCTAATTGGAACTTTCATATCTAATCCTCCAGAAAACCTCCTGCAGGTTTTAGAGGTGTTTGGTGTTTATTTCCGGCGAGTAGTTTTCTGTTAGGAAAAGGGGAGTTATTTTTTTAATGATGTTTTTATTTTTATTTTTAATTCAGTATGTATTTCTGGCAGTAAAAATAGAAGTGACTCTACATGTAGAATAAGGTAGAAAAGAATGGAGGATTAGATTAAAACATTAAGTTTAATTTAAGAATAATTTTTAAGTCCAGTGTTTTTGAAGCAAAGATTCTCAAACTTCTTAAAAATTTGTGGATGTATTATTGCAAGTCCACAGATCTATATAACACCACATTTCATGTTTTCACAGAAATTTAATGTTTTAAAGTGATAACTTTAAAAAATAAGACAAAGGATTTCCTTAAATAGAAACAATCAGAAATAAAAGATGTTTTCTCACAGACTAGGATTTTAGCTTACTAAATCTGTATTTCTCATACTGAGGTCTATAGATAAAATCTTGAGAGTCTGTGGGAAATTTTATCTTTTAAAATACCTTATTTAACTTTAAGAACCTTTTTTTTCTGAATATGTTGATTATTTCTATTTTTCTTGTATCTTTTTTACTCTAAACAACTGACAAGACTCCCTCTGTGCTGCCAGTTCTGCTCACTGCCCCCCCAGGTATATAAGGAGAATTTGGAATTGTCTTTCTCACTGAGCTATGATGTTCAGTGAAGATAATGCCTCTGAAGGTAATTGAAAGTAGACTGTGTAGATGTTGATGTGCAGGGAGCATACGTAAGTTTGTCAAAGGATGACATTCACAGCGAGTGTCACCTGGAAGCCAGAGCTAGATTAGTTAAGTAGTGCTCTTTTAGGAAGAACTTCTACTGCACATTTTAACGGAAATTCTAAGCACTCAAAAGTGGAAATTTATTTGTGTAGTATTTAACCACAGCTTGTTTTTATAACACATTTGTTTGAATGAATGAAAGGTTTATTTAGAGGCATCAAAACGAGATTCCTAAGAACACTACATATCTGTAACTCTAGGGCTTTATGAGATGAGATTGCTTTTCATCGGGGATTCGCAGTCCATCAGGTCAGCACACTTCTGTGTAGCCTTTTGTAAATCTGGTAGCTGTCCGGTGGGGCTGTGCCATATGACATAAACATGGGCTTGGGAGCCACGCCTGCTGTCATTCTGCTCCATCACTAACTGTGAACTGAGACAGGTTACTGAACCTCTCTGTTCTTCTGTTTCCCAGTGTAAAATAATGTTACTTTCAAAGTCTGTTGACGATGAAACGAGATGTCAAGTGCCCAGCACACTGCCGGCTTCAGAGTCGGTACTCAGAAAATTGTGGTGGTGGTGTTTTCCCCTTAATGGATGGGAAATGACATTGACACACTGATAAACTTGGATTGCAACCTGACTCTTTATATGTCCATTCTTCCTAGGTATTGTGAATAAGGAAAATGCTCTTCGTTAAGCCATATTTGTGACTTCCGATATTTCACTAATACTTTTCAATCAAGAGAACAGCATTGCTAACTTGCCCATCACTTTAAAGTGGTATTTGAAGGATTTGTGTGACACAATTATGACTTTGTAATTAGGCACCCTAAACACCCAGTCAGTCCTGTTGCTTACTTTCTTTGATTCACCTGTCTTCTCTGCTGTGATCACCTTGTTCCTCCCGACATGGAAGGTATTATAAGCTTTTGTAGTACAAATTTATGTTGTGAAGTATATGAAAGCCAAACATTGTTTCTCCATCAGTAGTTTTCAGATTGTCTCCGTGGAACTGTAGCATTTGAATGCATTTCTGTACGTTTATTCAAAGCAATTGTGGTCAGTATAGATGTATTTACCCCATCACTCCTGCTACAGTCCCAACATGGCAGGGATTGATAGTCATGACATGCAGAGTGATGCTGAAGGGTCGTACACGCTCTAGAAGTTTGAAAGCCACTGTACTGGTGGAGTTTCAGGCATTGTAATCCAGTGAAATGAAAGTCTCCATGCAGGAAAAGGGAGATTCTAGGGCTAAGATTTTTTTTACATTATCTAATCATGCGTGGAAGTCCATCTCTATCTAAGTCTATTTCTCCAAGTTCTCCCATTTCTCGTTTCCTCCTTCATTTGAATTCATAGATTCTCTAAAAATTTGACATTTTTCTTCATGGCTTCCATAGCAGTTGGAATGTGCCCTTTAATGGGGTGAGGGGGACAAGATCAGAGGAGAAAACCATACATAAGGTGGTCATTTCTAAATGAGGGACTGCCTGTAATCGCAGAATCTCATGCTTTTTGATTCTCATCGCTTTTTCAGGGCTCATGATGCCTTTGCAGAATAGTAACCATCACACATTCCTGGTTGCTGCATGCTAGGTTTGTCAACTAGCCATTATCATTTACCAGCATTCTGTAACTGTGACATTTAACTTTTGCTTTGGTATGCATTAAAGATTCCTTTTGTTCATTTTGTTCACGCTGTGCCATTTCAGTGTTCTAGACACTAAATATGGCTTCTGTGTACTGTCATTACATACACCGTTCGTGTGGGGAATTCTGAGATGAGTCGTTTTTGGAATTTAGTTAATCAGTGGATGATCTTTTCTCACTAATAGGGAATAAAATATGTGAAATTATCTTATTGGAAAGCGAGCTGTGACATACAGATATATTATTATGGTTATAAAGTTGCTAAGTGTGTCTGTGGCAGTGCCACTCCCTAACCAAAACGAAGGAAGAAACCACAACCCCTGAGCAGTCTGTTTTATTAACATTCACTCTTAGCCTCCAGAGGGACTTGCCAAATCCTTTTAAATCTGTTGTGTGCCTCTTAGTCAGTATATCATTTGACAGCCTTTTAATCAATTCAGTGACAACCTCTGGTTATTCAGTGCTACATTGCCATTTCCTAGGTTGAAACATTGTATTCATTGCCTATGGAAATGTTTAAAAGGCAACAGAATACTTACATACAGGAAAACATGAGATCTGTTTTTTAAATTAATTTTTATATTTTGTCCAATCGGTTTTAACAGGCACCATAAAACGGCATTGGGAATACATATGTAACCACAATAAAGAAAAAACGAAGACCCTGGAAGACAATGTTGACCCCACATGTGAAGACAGTGAGAGCAAGTTTGACTTCTCAGTGATGTCCTATAATATCCTTTCGCAGAATCTGTTGGAAGATAACTCCCACCTCTATAGACACTGCCGGCGGCCCGTGTTACACTGGAGTTTCAGGTTTCCCAATATTTTGAAAGAAATCAAACACTTTGATGCAGATGTAAGTGCAAAATATCAAAATCCTCCACACAAGAGTGTTGGGTTTAAATGGTTCACTTGCGAGCTAAATTATTTCCTCACTTTTGTTTGTTTGGTTAAAAAGGAAATGTTTAAATGCAGTGATGAAATAGTTTTTAACAAGGTATCAGAACTGCCAAAGAGTCATTTACTAGTGGTTGTTGGTATAAATAATCATCTAATGTTTCAAAAAAGATCTAAAAGCTTAAGTATTGGTTACTTCTGAGATAAGGACTGGCAATATATTAAGCATTCAGTACATATTTCCTTGGATTTTATTTTATTTTAAATTTAAATAGTTCATGTAAGAGTAATCTAGATAATGACATTCAAAGAAATCACCTCTTAAAAAAAGGAGAAGGGGGATTTATACTAATAAATGTATAAATTCAGGGAAAATATTCTGACATGCGAATTTAAAATATTTCTTTTGAAGGAAGCTTCATGTGATTAAAGGCCAGGGTTTGGGGGACTGATCAAATTTAGAAACATTAATTTGATGGATGTGTAAATTACAAGAGAAAAGGGTTTTTATTTCAACTTTCATCGGGCTTTTATGGAAGCACCAGAAATTTCATATTTTCATTTTGTTTTAATTCAGGCCTTTTTTTCCTTCCAAGGTACTTTGTCTGCAAGAAGTTCAAGAAGATCATTATGGAACAGAAATCAGGCCAAGTTTGGAATCGTTGGGTACAATGTAACTTTTATTTTAGCCATATTTACTTTGGAAGATTGGTATGTTGTTAAAACATAACTTGCTAACAAAGAAGTGTGATGTATTTGGGCCAAAAATCCTAATTTTGAAAAACTTAATACTTATTTCAAAAAGTCAGGAAAAGATTGAAGTATTTCAAGTGGAAACTTTTGTGTTGATATAGAATTTTAATTTAAAGGGAAAGGTACATAAGACTCTCTTAATAGCTTCTTTCCAGGAGTTTCTTTGTCCATCACTACTAGATCCCTAAGATTCTGAGACCCATAAGTCAGGGGCGTCCAACCTGTGGCCCACAGGCGGCACACAGCCCAGGATGGCTGTGAATGCAGCCCCGCACAAAACTGTGAATTTACTTAAGACATTCTGAGATTTGCGTGTGTGTGTGTGTGTGTGTGTGTGTAGTTACATGTCACAATGTATCTAATGTGTGGCCCAAGACAACTTTCCTTCCCGTGTGGTGCAGAGATGCCAAAAGGTTAAATACCCCAAAAACTCAGGGTCATCCTTATACCACAAGTGATCATCCCTACCTAATGGATCAAAACTAAAAGACTCTTTGATGAGTGAACACTTCTAAAAATAGGTTATCTGTTTGAGAAATGCTCTCCACTTTGCATTCATTCATTCGAGAAATTTTTTTTGAGTGCCTACTATATATACTGTGCAATATTCTTGGTAGTGGGGATATAGCAGTAAGCAACACAGATAAGTCTCCGCCCTTGAGGAGGGTACAGTTGATGACAAACCATGTAAACTGTGCAAATAGCAAAGGCAAGTTCTCAAGTTTGGAGTGCTGTAAGGCAGATGAGAGGCTAGTGTGTGTGGAGTGGAGCAAGGGAGAAGTTAGAGGCAAAAAGGTCGGAGGTGCACGGTGGGTAGATTGTTAGAAGGCCCTACTGTCTTTGTCATGACTCTGATTGACTAGGATGGAAATGAGAGCATAATAATGCACATTAGCATATTTAAGACTGAAGTCTGCCAGTAAAGAGGCCTATTTGTCCTAGTCCCAAACTTTTCTGAGTCCAACACTTATTGACGTCCTACTAATGTTTTGCAAAATACACTTTGGTAAACATTGTTCAAAAATATTAGCTGTATTTTGCCGTTTGTGTGTGTGTGTAAAACAGTCTCTTATTTTAAACCTTTCTTACAGGTTATCACTGTGAATACAAGATTCGGACAGGAAAGAAACCAGATGGCTGTGCTATTTGCTTCAAACATTCCAAGTTTTCACTCTTATCAGTGAACCCAGTGGAATTCTACCGTCCTGATGTCCCTCTGCTGGACAGAGACAATGTGGGACTGGTGTTACTCCTGCAGCCCAAAATTCCAGATGGCACCTGTCCTGCAATCTGTGTGGCTAACACACATCTGCTCTATAATCCAAGGCGAGGTGACATAAAGCTGACCCAGCTGGCAATGCTTCTGGCAGAGATCTCCAGTGTTGCCCATCAGAAAGATGGCAGCTTCTGCCCTATTGTCATGTGTGGGGACTTTAACTCTGTTCCTGGTTCTCCGCTCTATAGTTTCATAAAGGAAGGGAAATTGAATTATGAAGGCCTCGCCATAGGAAAGGTAAGTGCTCGCTTCATGGTTGTTAGGAGGGGGACTTAGGATCTGCGTTCACTGCAGGGTGAGGAGACCTTCTCGCAGGGCTTTTGGAAAACCTTGGAGGACACAGGCCCCTCCCTTGACCAAGCTGTGGGGATTTTCCACAACTACTAACAAGTCATGATAGCTACTTGGTTGAATTGCAACTTTCCCATCTATTTGTGGCAGCATTCCACTTGGAGAAATTGGCAAACAGCAAAAAATCCAAAATGGAAGAGAGAGAGAAAAGAAAAACAGTGACAGACATGAATACTTCATAAGGAACCACTCACAAGGTGGCAGAATAGAACTTTGAATGCCGGATGTGAGCAATACAGTTAGCAAACAGTAATTTCATATTTCTTTATTATTTTTATTTACATAATAAATGTTTTCATTCCTTAGCTGAGTATAATTTATCCCATTTTTAATTTCATTGTGTTCGCTTCCATTTACTTTTGATCATTTGTTCTTCATTATATTTAACCAAAATAAGTTTTTCACCACTGACTTTTGAGTGATAGTTTAAAATTTTATGAGTTCATCTCTTAGTATTTTATATAATAGGAACTTAGTATTTTATATAATATATATAATTATATATTATATAATTTTTACTATGTTGCAGGTAGCAAAAGGAGGGGCAGTATTAGTCCATAGCCATCGTTCAGACATCCAAATTAGAGAAACACACATATAGGAAAAGATTGCCATGTTCATGCAAATAATAAGTGCTTTCTGAACTGTATTTGAGCAAGATTTTATAAGCACAAATAATCATTTAATATAATGAATAGAAAGTAGTATTTACTCTTCTTGGATTCCCTTTCATTTAACACAAACTTTTCAGTACATAAACTATTTAAAATCTACTCACTTAAGATACCTGTTGGAATTTTGTTTAGGTATCTGGCCAGGAACAGTCTTCACGGGGACAAAGAATTTTATCTATTCCAATTTGGCCCCCAAACCTAGGTATCTCACAGAACTGTGTGTATGAGGTACAGCAGGTACCAAAAGTAGAAAAGACAGGTAAGTGTTCGCAACACATTTTGGCAGTCTTCTTCATAATACTTTCCCTTTGAATGTAAAACTAAATTTTTTAAAGGCTAACATTTCAGGAATAAGTGTATATATAAAAACATAGTTGTTTGCTTACTCCTTCTTTATTTATTTTTAAAGACTTTATTTTTTTCTAGAAAGAGGGGAAGGGAGGGAGAAAGAAAGGGAGAGAAAGATCAATGTGAGAGAAAAACATCAGTCAGTTGCCTCTCATAGGTGTCATGACCCAGGACCAAACCTGCGACCCAGGCATGTGCCCTGACTGGGAAACAAACCGGTGACCTTTTGCTTTGTGGGACAATGCCCAACCAACTGAGCCACACCAGTCAGAGCTGCTTATTCCTTTTTCTAAAGAACTCTAAATTTACCTTTTAAAAGTAGAACTTTCAGAATTATCTTTGCATGAATTATTTGCATGTTCCTTTGGAAATGTTTGCATGTTAATGTTTGCTAATTCTGGAGATCATCAAAACATTGTTCTAGGATGAAACCTTTAACTAGGCTTCTGTAAACTAGGTATATCCTAAATATTGTTTCTATAATAAAAGGACTGTACTGAGGCAAACTAGAACTGTACTGATAGTATTAAAATACATATTTTTCTTGGTTCTTACAGACAGTGATCTGACACAGACACAGCTGGATGACACGGAAGTCCTTGTGACAGCTGAGAAGTGAGTTATGGAAAGCCACAGTTGACATTAGCTGACGGTAGTCGAGTAAAAAATATCATTTCTTAAAACTGATTCTTTAAAAAGTGATCGCCGGGGCAAGGGGGTGGAGAGAGGTGAAGGAGGGCATGGGGTTGGTGGGGTAAATGGTGATGGGTGGAGACTTGACTTAGGGTAGTGAACACACCATAGTGTCCAGGTGATGTGTTATGGAACTGTGTACCTGAAATCTGTTTAATTTTGTTAACCAGTGTCACCCCAATAAATTCAGTAAAAGGGGGGGTGGAGAAATTTATTCTGTGCTGGTGAAGAATGTGAGTTCTTATGTCAAATAGACCCAAGTACCAGCTGTGACTTTGTTCTTTTTAGCTGTTTGACTTTGAGAAAGAATCTTAACATCTCTGAGGTTTAGGTTCCTTGTGCGTGACATGGGTCGACGTGGGCTACATGAGACGAAGCGTGGAAAGCTCAGTGGCTGGGCGCCTCAGCAGTGTTACTGAAAGGAAGCAGCTTGTCAGTGGATCCGGGCCAGCCAGTGCTGTTGAAAATGTGTTGCTATTACAAAGGTCAAGATTGCAGAAAAATATCTTTGAAATGTCAGGAAGATCCTTAGCCTCCTTCGACTTACTAGATCTCAGAACAATCTATAGGAAAATTGATCCAAAGAGGAGTATGTCAGTAGGAAAGATAACTGTTTATACTTAACCTCCTACAGGAAAAGGTCATCTGAGGTCGAAGGGCAAAGATGCCTGGATCCCCAATTGTTAAAGAAGTATGAATGTTTGGGGCTGTGGTTACAAAACATGTATTTTAATATAACAGATGGAGACTTAAATCTTTTGGGGAGTTTCTTAATGTCTTCATTGTTTTATATTGTGGCTCTTTTATAGTTCAGATTTTGTTTTAACATTTAAGTTTAGGACCAAATTATAATCTCCTCTCAGTCTTACTTTGTACACCTTGTTTTTAAAAAAATATCTCGTGTGAAAATCCAATATTTTCTTATTGGAGAAGAAATTTTGAAAAATATTTAATTTATTTATTTTTAGAGAGAGGGGACGGGAGGGAGAAAGAAAGGGAGAGAAATTCCGATCAAGTGCTTCTTGCACACGCCCCAGCCCGGGGCAGGTCTCACAACCCAGGCATGTGCCCTAACTTGGAATCAAACCAGTGACCTTGTGCTTTGCCAGACAATGCTCATCCAACTTAGCCATGCTGCTCCAGGCAGGAAATTTTTTTTTTAATTTTAAAAGAAGTATTTAAAAATTTATGATTGAGCTATTCAAATATAGTCAAAACTTTCCTGAGTAAAGTTAATAAAAGGCTAGTTTTACTAATAAATAGTTTGGGATAATTCTAAATTTTTTTATACAAAGTAGGGTATAAGAAAAGATACTTTTAATTATCTTTATATAAATACCATGTTTTATACAGCTTATATGAGTAAACTCAAAAGTTGATAATAAGATAATGGTTTGCAGAAAAATACAGTGCCTCTGACTGACATCAACAGTCTGGTAGTATCTAAATGCACTCCTAACGGCATTTTGGTTTTCTTTCTTAAAAACCATATATATATATACACACACACACGTAGGCATACCCTCGGAGATATTGCAGGTTCTGTTCCAGACCACCACAATATAGTCAATATCTCAATAAAGCAAGTCACGTGAATTTTTTTTGTTTTTCCAGTGCATATAAACATTATTTACAATATACTGCACTCTGTTAAGTCTCCAATAGCATTATAGCCAAAAAGTACATACCTTATTTTAAAAATACTTTATTGCTAAAAAATGCTCACCATCATCTGAGCCTTCAGTGAGTCATAACCTTTTCACCGATGGAAGGCCTTGCCTCCACACTGATGGCCGCTCACTCACCGGGATGGCGGTTGCTGTGCAGTTTTTTAAATAAGACAGTAATGAAGTTTGCCATGTCAGTTGGCTCTTCCTTTCACTAATGCTGTCTCTGTAGCGTGTGATGCTGTTCAGTGGCATCTTACCCGCAGTGGAACTTCTTTCAGTACTGGAGTCAGTCCACTCAAACCCCGCTGCTGCTCTATCAACTCAGTTTAGGGAATATTCTAGAGCGTCTGTTGTCATTTTGACAGTCTTCACAGCATCTTCATCAGGAGTAGGTTCCATCTCAAGGAACCACTTTCTTTGCTCATCCAGCAGAAGCAGCTCCTCTGTTTCAGGGATTTTTTTTAAAATTTTATGTATTGATTTTAGAGAGAACGTAAGGGAAGACTGAGAGAGAAACAGCAATTGTTGTTCCACTTATTTATGCATTCGTTGGTTGATTCTTGTGTGTGCCCTGACCGGAGGTCAAACCCACATCCCTGGCCTGTGGGAACGACGCTCTAACAGACTGAGCTACCTGGCCAGGGCTGTTCGGGTTTTATCATGAAACTGCAGCAACTCAGTCATATCATTAGGCTCCACTTCTAATTCTGGTTCTCTTTGTATTTCCACCACACCCGCAGTTACTTCCTCCACAGAAGCCTTGAACAACTCAGTCATCCATGAGGGTTAAAATCAACTTCTCCCAGATTCCAGTTAATGCTGATATTTGACCTCTTCCCATGAATCACGAATGTTCTTAATGGCATGTAGAATGGTGAACCCTTTCCAAAGGTTTTCGATTTACTTTGCCTGGATCCATCAGAGGAATGAATCACTATGACAGCTATTGCCTTCTGAAATGTATTTCTTACTAAGACTTGAAATTCAGAATTACTCCTTGATCCGTGGGCTGCAGAATGGATACTGGGTTAGCAGGCACGAAGACAGCATTCATCTCATTGTGCATCTGCATCAGAGCTCTCAGGTGACCAGGTGCATTGTCAGTGAGCAGTAATATAAAGCAGTAACAAAAGGAATCTTTTATTGCTGAGCAGTAGGTCTCAACAGTGGACTTAAAATATTCAGTAAATCATGGTGTAAAAATATGTGTTGTCATCCAGGCTTTGATATCTCATTTATAGAGCACAGTTATAGAGATAGCATAATTCTAAGGGCCCTAGGAATTTCGAAATGGTAAATGAGCACTGGCTTCAGCTTAAAGTCACCAGCTGCATTAGCCCCTAGCAAGAGAGTCAGCCTGTCCTTTGAAGCTTGAAGCCAGGCATTGACATCTCTCTAGCTATGCAATTCCTAGATGGCATCTTCTTCCATAGGCAAAACAAAAAATTAGACAAAATAGACAGCTCTTTTGTCTACATGGGAAATCTGTTGTTTGGTGTGACAATCTTCATTAAGTACCTTAGCTAGGTCTTCAGGATAACTTGCTGTGGCTTCTGTGTTGACACTTGCTGCTTCACTATGCGGTGAAGACAGCATCTTTCCTTAAACCTATGAACCTGTTAGCTTCAAACTTCTCTTCTGCAGCTCACTCACCTCCCAGTCTTCATAGAATTGTAGAGAATTAGGGCCTTGCTCTGGATTAGGTTTTGGCCAAAGGGAATGTTGTGGCTGGTATGTACTTCTATTAAAACTTTCTCCATGTCAGCAGTAAGGCAGTTGTTTTCTTATCATCTGTGAGTTCACCAGACTAACACTTTTCGTTTCCTTCAAGAACTCTTCTTTTGCATTCACAACTTGGCTGTTTGGTGCAAGAGGCCTAGCGCTCGGTCTGTCTTGGCTTTGAACATGCCTTCCTCTGAGAGACATGTCACTCTTCCTTTCACTTGAACACTTAGAGGCCATTGTGGGGTTATTAATTGGCCCAGTTTCAGTGTTGTTGTGTCTCGGAACAGGGAGGCCGAGGAGAGGGGGAGAGGTGGGGAGTGGTTGGTTGGTGAAGCAGTTACAGGACACACATTTATCAGTTGAGTTCGTTGTTTGTGTGGGTGTGGTTTGTGGCACCGCAGATCACCATAACAAACACAGCAATAATGAAAAGGTTGGAAATTTAGGGGAATTACCAAAATGTTTTACAGAGACACCAAGTGAGCAAATGCGGTTGGAAACACCAAAAGACTTGCAGTGTGGCCACAAACCTTTAATTTGTAAAAAATGCCACATCAGTGAAGTGTAATAGTGAGGCCCAATAAAATAAGGCATGCCTGTGAATTGTTTTAGGATATGTGTTCATAAGTAAGTGGGGGCTCTCGAGTTTAGTTAATAACAAATCACATGAGTTTTTAATTACCAAGCCCCCCACACCTGTGTTTCACAACCTGGTCATGGGTTTTGGTGACCACTGTGTGAACACACACCAAGTTCCGGTGTTGTCTGTGTACGTAAAGCTTGTTCTGATAAGGTCTGGCTTTGTCTGGAAACAAAATGAAAAAGTGCTTTCACAGGAGGAATTAGAAAATCACAGGAAACTTGATGGATGCTAAACACTTTTCTCTTCAATTTAGGTTGTCTTCATATTTACAGCACCACTTCAGCTTGTCGTCAGTTTATTCACATTATTTCCCTGACACTGGGATTCCAGAAGTGACCACCTGTCATTCCCGAAGCGCCATAACGGTGGACTATATATTCTATTCTGTGGGAAAGGAAGATGTTGCTGGGAGTCCAGGTAAAGGAGGCATGTCATCTTAAATTCTGCTTGAGGACACAGTACCTAAAACCTCAAGGCTGAAGTTGACCAAGTTAGCTAAACATCTAGATGAAGTTGTAGATTTAGAAGTTAAGAACGTGTATATGTTCATATGTATAAATATGTATATCCTTACCCAAGGACATGCTCACTGATTTTAGAGAGAGAAAGAAACATTGACACAAGAGGGAGAAACGTTGATCCATGGCCTTTCCTACGCACCCCGACCAGGGACTGAACCTGCAGCCCGGGCATGGGCCCTGAGTCTACTGCCACACCAGCCAGGGCGAGAAGTGAAAAATAGTTTTAAATTGGTAATATAGTTGACAGATTGGTGATGTATTTGAATCAGTCAGTTAACCACCTGCAAAAGGTGGAGGCAGTGAAAGACCTCACAGCAGATTATTACCTAAGAATGAAATCCTCCTCTCTGCCCTCCAGCCCAGTCACCTTCTGAGTTCTCGGTCCTGCACATTTCCCTCTGGTTTTACTCATCATGTATCTACTGTTTTCTTGTGCCAACAATACTGTTGTACCTTTTTTCTATTTCAAGTGCTAAAAATAATCCGGAAGAAAACATCAGTGTAAAATGCTCAGTAATTCTCGTAATGTTAAGTTGTTTGAGATTGACAGCTTCACAAGAAACTCACCCATCAGCCACTCCACAGCTGTATGAAATCGGTACACTCAGCCATGGCGATACTTGTTTATACTCCCAACAGCAGACAGTTTGGTCATGTTGACCTTGGAGGGTTGGATTTTTTCTGGAAAGAGAAGGCTGTGACTGTGTTTTCAGAAAGCAAAGGTGCTACAACACTTTTTCTTGTATGATTCAATGAAAATAAGGCTCTATGAATCAAAGGGTTTAATGTGGAGAAAATGCTGTTTTATATAAGTGAGTCAAAAAGTACCATTCAGAAAACTTTGACAGTCTAAAATACAGCTGTTGTCTTTCCTGATTTTCCTTTTTTTCCTCTTCCATTTTTTGGTGCTACTTTATTTTCCCCTTTTTGTTTTTTTTTCTTCCTACTGAGGATCACTGTATTAGTAATACTCAGTGGGTGACTTAACTTCTGTCCAGAGGAGGAGGAATTAGATCAACTCTGCAAAATAGGCCCGCTGCTTTGAATGCAAGAGGTTCTGGTAGTTGTCATGCCTTAACTCTTCACTAGGTGGCAGAAGTATGCCTTGGACCAGCATCTCAAAGTTTAAGAGCATGTCCTCTTTTGCTTCTTCTAAAGTGACTCTCCAAATTATAAATTTATTTCCCAGTCACCTTATAAACTCCCTCCTTAGCTGTAGCAGTGTCTGCCTGGATTTATACAACTATAGAGTGGTTGATGGATGAATTTCTTACGAAGTTGTCAATCTGAAATTACTCGTAACATTACAAGAATTACCAAACATTATTACCTTGATGTTCTCTTCTGGATTATTTTCAGAACTTGAAATAGAAAAAATATATGAAATAGGGAAGAAACTAAACATCTAAAAACTGCTGTGTATTTGAGCATTATAATTGGGTTACACTCAATAAATATTTAAGCATATTCTGAAAACTTTTATTTTTAGACTTCCAGAGGGGGTCTCAAGTTCTATATCATAGGTGTTTGGCAGGGGGAGACTTGTATGATTAATTTACAATAACCTGTTGATACAGTTCCACTAAATATGTATGTTTCTTCAACACAGGAGGTCAAGTTGCTTTGGTTGGTGCAAAGCAACCAAACTTGAAACTTCTGGCTAGACTGTCGCTTCTTACAGAACAAGACTTGTGGACAGTTAACGGACTCCCGAATGAAAACAACCCTTCAGATCACCTGCCTTTACTGGCTAAGTTCAGACTCGAGCTCTGACTCTTCTTTGATGACACACCTTCCTTTCCAGGGCGTATTCTTCTTCGGAGACTGGAAGGTGTTCTAAAGAGTTTGCGTGTTGTTGATCTTTGCGCTGCGGACTTTCTGAAGAGGCTACATGCTTGGAACGGGTACCAGAGGAGACAAGTTTACAGCAGTTTTCTTTTTTAATAATGAAAGCATATTTTCCTGACAAGTGAAATCTAAATGCTCTTTATTGTAAAAAAAATTGTAAATATTTTTTATTCGAAATTCCAGTAAAATAGACAGTGATTTTAAAATACAGTGCATCTTCTTTAGTCCTCTTAGTAAAAATTCCATTTTGTGCTTGTGGCAAGTTTCGCAGGAGATCCCAAGAGTCTTTGAGTCTGAAACCGCAGTTCATTCCCTTCCAGAGGCCTGGCCGCATGTTTGTGGAGTGAGTCCCAGTTAGTTCGTCTTAGAAATCACTGGGCCATTCACAAGTATCCAACCACTTTAGTTTGTTTTGGGGGGGTCTTGACAGGCTTACAAGAAGTTGTGCAGGTTGTTTGATCACCTTGTTGCCATCCTGAGACGTAATATATCTGCCTTTTGTTGGGGACACGTAGGTCCCATAACCAGTGGGACAAGGTCCTTACACAGGCCCATTCTTCTACCCTTTTAACAGACCAGCCATTACAGGAGACAGAAATTGGGGCTACGCCTTCATTTCCCCAGCAGTTTTTTTCTTTTTTCTTTTCAGTTTCAAGAAAAGATCCCTGGGTTCGGGAGAGCTTTTGTATTAGTGAACCAGTGCTGCAGAAATTCATTGTTGGGAAGCATGTCTTTGGAACACAGTGGCAGCTTAAGTTTATTTTTGTTTTGCCTCAGAAATTTGAACAAGCCAGCAAAAGTCTAGTGGAACGACACCAACAAGGAGATCTAATATTCTCTAGTAATTTTAACGGTTTTAGTAGTTTCTAAAATGCGTCTCTCTTGTCATGATGCTGCACTGTGAGATAGTGCAGACATTGTTTTTATAGAGGGCTTAGGAGCAGGTCTAATTCTGCAGTTGGCTTTGTGAGTGTTGAAACCAAAATTTTTAAAACATAAGTGAAATTTTTCTCTTTTTTAGACATGGGGATCAAAGAATTACATGCATTTTTACTAAATAATTTTATATTGAATTTACCGAATTATAAAAGTTTTTACAGTAGGTTTTCTTAATAGAATGCTTCACTTGAAATTAGAAAGCAGTGGTTGCTTTATAGTCTTGGACATGAAGGGTTTGAGTATTAAAGTGCTTCCTACCATTATTGAAAAAAGAAATAGATGAATTTCCCACAAGGCATGTGGGTAATAAGGAACAGCTTAGTAAAATTTGTGATAAGTGAATACAGGGCCCAGCAGCAGTAAGGCTTATCTGAGTGTGGCTGGTGGGAACATGAATGTCTCACACGAGGGGGACAGCAATGTGAACATTTGACCCAGAGTGTCATATGGTGTGCTTGAGTGTGACACTGTCACGTTACAGAATCATGTGCTTGTGATTTCGTAATAAAAATGGGGGGCGTTATTTGTACCAGACCCTGTACTTTTAAATGCTTAATTTCTCACTTTGGAGATTTTTACTTGTGGTATTAACTATAGTTCTAGAATTTTTCACATTTTCTAGTTACAGTGTTCAGATTATAATCTGTCCTGCTAGCAGATATTGTCGTCATCAAATAACAATAATAGATGTAATTATCCCCCTTTAGTACTGGGGAAAGAAAAATGAAAATTCATTGATGATTGCTTTCTGTTGTATGAATTTATTAACAAACTAACTTTTAAAAAGGCCGTTATTGACAAACTGACATCCCTGAATATCTCTGTGGAAATTTATTTTTTTATATCCTGATGAATATATTATGTTTTCGGCTCTTTTCACGTGTTTCATTTTGATAGAATGAATTCACAAAATTGCTTTCTTCTTTAGTTTATAGAAGGAAGGATTAGTTTTTGGACTGGAAGCCAAAGGGTCAGTGTAGCTTTTTCACAAGTTTCTAAATCAGCACTAAAATGAAGGGTCCACTTGTCTTCCCTTCTTTTGGTCGGAAGACTGCCCAGAGCCCCTAACCTGGCCAGTTGACACCTGACACCATCCCCCACCCAGGCTGCCCAAGTTTCAAATGGGGAGGGGCATTGTGGGGCAATGAAATCCTGGTGTGACCGCTCCTTTTGATAGCAAGGTAATACGTATGTTTGCCGTCTTTGTCCTTGTTTTTGTTTTTTAATTTAGCGACTGTTGCTTTTAGCCCTTTGCTTTCCTAAAAAAACTAACTTAGAATCTAGAGAGTTTAAGGGATTGGGGAAACAGATGTCAAGTCATTTGTACTCTGAACATATAAATGACCTATTCAATTATTAGAATAAATTATTATATTAGTACATCTGCCTGAAGTATTTTTAGTGGATGTACTAATCTGTGTAAGCTGGCTTGTTGCCTCTTCTAAATTATCCTGTTACCCTTTTCAGCCTTTATTACTTAGGTTGATGGTAAATACAAATGAATGAAGATGTGCCAGAATAGAGTGATGTTTAATGTGGAGTCTGGAAATTGTGGAAGGCTGAGGGAATGATAAATTAGCTTATTACTAGGACAAGTATATAGTGAGTGGACAAGAAAAAAAAATCACACTATCTTACATTTTTAGAAGAAAAACAATCCTTAAGTTTCCAGGATGGTTTTATTAAAGTCCCATGCTGTACAAACATACGAGTGATGAGAAAAACATTAAACATGCATTATCTGGCAATTCTCTAAAATGCCATCATACAAGTTTTCATTTACTTAGAAAAATACCCACTAAAACAATCACAGTTTTTTTTAAAGATTTAAAAAAAAATGTATTGGCCAGAACAAAGTCCAAGAGAATAAACAAGATTCTGAATTGTATGTCAAAAAAACTGTACAAGGTTGTACATAAAACTAGCTTACAAAAGCCTTGAGTATAGTAAGAATACTGAATTAAGATTTCCAAAGTTCTATTTACCAATATCTATTAATAAAATCCTTATGAAATAATCGACTTAGAAAAAGTGAAATGTTCATGATTTCAGAGTGTATAGAAAATAGCAAATATCACTTTCTGAAATAAAGTGTATTCACATGTAGTCTAAAATCAAGATTTCTGTCATTCATTTAAACTTTGCATATATTGCCATAATGGCTTGAGCATAAAATTTCTCTTGCATTATAACATTTTCAAAACTATATTCCAAACCATTTCAGTTTCATTTTTGATCTTTTGAATTGTAGCCAGTTTCAAAATCCATTTTGGGGTGGGCAAATCATATCATTTTTTTTTTGTTTTGCCTTTATATTAAAATTAAATTATTGCACTAGAATTTAGGAGTTTGGCTCCTTTCTCACATCTTTTAGAAATTAACATTCCAGAAGCATTAACAATAGAATGACAACTAAGAACATTTTCAATGAATTTGCATGGTTCTGTGACTAACTCTCACTTTGGAGAAACGACTCTTAAAATCAAGAAGTTAGTGTGGAAGAAATTAACTTACTTAATTGAATCATCAAGCCAGTTGGCAGCTTTAAGATTTATCCATCAGCATATTAGAAACACTTTGTATTCCTATTCTTTTCCCCGCTTTTTTGTGAGAAACAAGAAGGTGTACAACTATGGACTTTCTATGTTTTAGTCGGGACAGCACATAAGTAATGCTTGGAAAACCCTATTGCAAGCTCTTAGGAGGATCGCAGTGTTACAAAGTCTTCTTATTGGGTATAATAAAGCTTCGGGTTGATAAACAGAAGATACAGATCTGTTTTCAGAATGAGAACGAAACGATTCACCATCATAAATCCACGTGGCCACGGGCTGCAGATGGGTTTGCCTTGTGAAGATACACAAAGGTAACTCATTGTAAACACTGCTGACTGATAATACTATTTTTGAAGGGATTAACTTCAGAATTTTTAACTTACGCTATATTTTATTCTAATTTAGATGTGTATTTGCTTGTTCCTGTCTATGTAAAAGACATTAGACTTCCTTTTTCCCCCAAGAAACCAATACTCTCCAGTAATACCATCAATTTTTAGGGTAAAGTGAGTTCATGTCACACGGCTAAAGGATGGGTGCAGTCCTTTCTCTCTCCGTCACTCACCCTCAGAGGTGCAGAATCGGAATGAGCAGATTCCCATTTTTTTAATCGCTTCCTAAAATCACCGCCAGTCAAAGAAAGTCAGAGGGGAAGACTGAGACTGAAGTAACACTTCTGTTGACTAGTAGACTTCACTTCAATGTCTTTTGGTCTCATGAGTTGCCATGGTTACTAAGATAGACAAACTAGAAGCTGTGTTCTTGACAGTGATAACATGCAGACTCGGGGTGCTGCTAGAGTTACTCTGCGTGGTCTGCTGCCAGGAGTGACCCTGGCACAACCGTGTGCGGGCCAGTCACACCGAGCGCTGTGGCCCGAGTCACGCTATAAGGTGTAACACTGGACCTGAAGACTTCACCGCTTAAGAAAGGCCCCGTGCTTCTCTAATTCACTGCATCCTTCAACAGCAGATCCTAAACACCACGAAGTCGTACCGAAAAGCAAGGTGCTGGGAAGAATCACATCGAGCCCAATGTGGTCTTAATATAAGACATCAGAACACATCTCTAACAGCAGTGAGTCCTTCAGAAACAAGGCCCAGTAAATTTTTCTAATCCTGCACGACTGCTTCTCCTTTTTGCAAGAGTCTGCAAAGTTTAAATGTGAGTGACAGAACGCAGACTAGCCTCTGAACGTGCTTTCTTTTGTTTCGTTTTGAAAGAACAAAGACTGCTGTCAATGGTGCTTTGAGAAAGATTACGAAAGTAACTCCTGAAAATGATTTCCCGTATTGCCAGAAGAATTTCAGTGTTTTTTAGCAAAAACACTTGCATATAATACCTTAAATCTCATCACATGTATGCACCAGGAAAGAATTCCAAACTCTGTGGAGATTCCCCAGGGGGAAATACCGGGGAAGCAATATAAATAGAATATAAAAAACCAAAACACTATTAAGTTTGCATATCTGATGTCAAGATGCTGAGGTAATATTGACAGCTTAAAAAAAACCCACCATTCTTTGCCTGTGTTATTGCTGCAGAAAACATTAATACTGATCGAGTTAACCTTACTCCATCAAGTGGGAGGGAGAGTTTCATGAACACGTCCGTGGTGAGGGGTGATGTGGCGAGCCAATAAAAGAATGTAGAATGTAAGTGGAAAAATACAGAACTACATCGATGGTATTATCCTTTCGCTCTGGAGGGAGGGAGACAGTCCAACCCCAGTGGGGTGTATGACTATAGCCTCTTCATGGTTTCCCCTGCATGAATTTTTTTTTACATTGTTACCACCCACTCAGATTCTGTTTCCAAGTGAATCCTTAAAAATAAAACTCACGAGTCCTTAATAAATAGTTGCAGTTCCCCCTGAAGACGCTGGGTAAAGTGCGGAGAGAAGCACCACAGAAGCCCTCTTGCTGGCTGGTATGGCTTTGCCTAGATTCGGATTTGATAGCCCACTTCATTCAGAGTGCTGAGATCGGCCCCTTTCTTCTCAGGCAGAGCAGGCCTGCGGGTGGAAGGCGGGTGGTGGGCAGAGGGGAGGGGACGGAGAGAGAAATTCAGTGTCTCCAGAGGCCGCCTTGAACTCAGCTCTCCTGACCCTGTGACGCTTGCCCCCACCCCAACCACCAGCCTCAGCTCCCAATGCTGCCTCTTGTCTGAAAGCCCACCTTTTACAGGTTTTAGGCAACATTTTAACAGACCTTTTTTTCAATCCAGAGTTCATACAAATGTACGGGTTCCTGAATGAGTTTGTTCAGCTTTCGGCCTGAATTTGGTCACGCTCTAACTTGTGAGTCTTGAAAGGAGCTAAGGTGTCGCATGCACTACAGTCGAACTAACAATCTGAGCCAAATTCCCCTGGAACCTTGGCTTCCTGGCGTTCGTGCCCAGTGGGAAGCCAGCAGCTACGAGCCACCCCAGGTTGTTTGGCGGCGGGCCTCACGGGCTGTTTGAGAGACCACCACCACTCCAGACTCGAATGCACATAATTGGGGGGGGGGGGACATTTGACAGCACATGGGAAAAAGTTTGTGTCACCAAGCAAAATCACTCAGTGGCAGAACCTCTCTGTGCCCTAAATACGTTTCCTGAGGTCCTTTCCAGTACACAGCTACACCTAAGCACTCACGTGTCTCCCCCTCCTCTGTGTGGCCGATGTGGAGAAAACTCAGTAATGAAAAGCTCAGTTTTGCAAAGATTAAGATAGAAGTTCTCATAGGTAGTCCTTGCTTTAGAAAAGGATTAAATGAGAGACATTTCCTGTAACAACGAAAATAAGATTTCCCTGCTCCCTCCCCTAACATTGTATTTCTCACCCCAATATGAGTTACACTTGTTTTTAGCCGATGTTTTTAATGCTCTGTGTCTGACAGAGCCTATTCACTGCCCCTCATCACCCACTCTCCCCTTCTGCCTTAGTAAGGACGCCCCTGATTTCTAGCTGGGGGCAGAGCTGCCTGGAATACAAACCCCATTTCACAGCCTCCCCGAAGCTGGGGACGGCCTTGGACTAAGTTGTAGCCGATGAGACTGAAGTATGGGGCCGCCAGTCACCGGGACACCTGTGCAGCAGACAAGCAGCATGTGCCCTTCCATCTCTTTCTTTCCCTTTCCCGTCTTCCTTGAGGAAGTGACAGCGGGGCTGGGCCCTCCGGCTGGCCCACGGCAGAGGCAGAGAGCGGTCAAGCCCCGCCACCAGCTCCGCTGAGCTGCTTCCCCATTACAGTAAATCACAGGTAAAGCCGCAGCTGCAACCTCACCTTCCCCACCGCCAAAGCCAATCCCAGCTGGTACCATTTCCCTCCATGAGTTCACTAACCCGATGGCAATTCAGACGCGCACTTAACAGAGGAGAAAACAGAGGCACCAAAAGTTAGGGAGCTTGCTCAAAGCAAAGCCACATGGCTAGCAAGTGGTAGAGCCAGAGGCTGTCCCCCAAATCCATGTCCTCAATTGTGTGCAGGCTGCCCCGTCCTCCTGCACCCCACACAAAGCACCCTCCCAGTCACCTGAGAGCATGACACCACGGCCACTCCTGCCTCCGCACCTTGGCCATGGAATGCCCTGTCACATGTCCTCTTGTCCTCCCTTCAAGGGCCAACCCAAAGGCCCCTTCTCCCATGAGCAATTTTCTGACTTCCCACAGCATTTCCTTCAGTACCTCTGTTCAAGAATCTCATAAGCCTGGGGCCTGCCTTGGAGACAGTGACCCACCTGAGAGCAGGATCAAGTAAATTCATCTGTGAATCCCCAAGGCTGGATACCCCGAAACTCACACTAAACTTTGGTCCAGTTCTCACTAACGTGCAAATGGCTGATATGTTACCTTTACCAGGGGATATTTTAATTTTAACAGAGACAAAGTCCTAAGCCAGGAATTCAAGTCACCGTGACAACATCCTAAGAATTGAGTAGGAAGAAAGTGGTCTTTTCCTGTATAGAAGAGGCTCTGCCTTACCTTTGAAAGCCACTTGGGGAGGAGCGTGCCCACTCAGCAACCTCTACGTGGCCCTGCAGTGGCGGTGGTGTGAGGGCTTCCCAAGGGAAGGGACGAGGCTGTCTCTTCCCTCTGTGTCCTCACCCCACTCCACTCCCCACAGGTACTCAGAACCTAGTGGGGGGGCGGGAGGAGGCTAATACTGGCAGGAAATGCATTAAAATGAGATTGCTGGTGAACCGCCTGGAGGATGAAACCCTTCTCCTTCCCAGCCACACTAGCTGCCATTTCCCAGCCTGGCGAGGGGCAGAAGTGGGTTATCACCGCATGCCACCGGCCTGTGCGCCCAGCCAGACACACTGCTCGGTCCCTGCCAGCTCCTCTCATGAGCAGAGCTGAGTGAGCTGTGGGGTGGGGAGAGGCCTCTTCCAAGGGCTCCCCTGGCTGAAATTAGAATAGCAAGCGGAGTTATTTTTAAGAAACGCGAGCACCAGGATGATGACTCAGCCGGGTCTGCCCTTGCCCAGAACCTCTCATCGGATCCACAGCTATTATTTTAGACTGAATAATGTATTTCTCCAAACCCCTCCCCAGTCCAAACAAGGAAAAGAAATCAACCAATTTTCCTTTTGAAAGGTTCTCAGGCCACCTTCTGTTTTACAAGAGGGATCAGGGTCCTTAGGTTTTCTTTGCCCACTTTGTGGAAGGACAGAAGGACACACGAGCGGGCAATCCCAGCTGCACCTGTTGTCACTCAACGTATCGAGGGAAAACTGGGGTGACTGCTGGACAGCCTGGTCCTGAGCTGACCTTGAACCCCAGCGTCGGGCTGCAGTCCAGGGTCAGGAGGAGGCGGGTCAGGGAGGAGGTGCGGGGGTCTGCAGAGAAGGAAGTACGTGCGGTATCTGCCCCTGCCGCCTGCACCCTGACGGCTGGGGCAGAGTGCACCCTCTCCCACGTGTGGAGCGTCCAGGCTGTCACACGCCCTGAGGCGGCCCCGGTGCCCACGAGGAAGACCTTCCACTGGATGGGATGCTGACGTCAGGGAAGCCACAGGAGGCCTCAGAACCCAACAGTGGTGGCAGCATGGTGGGGACCCACTGGGGACAACAGCACACCCTTGAACACAAGCTGGCGTGTGCCTGTGTGAGGCTGGGTTTGGGACAAGAAGCAGTAAAGGGAAGTAAAGCCTCTAGGGTCCCCCCACCCCCTCAGTCCCTCTTCTGTACCTCTGACTAAGGGACTAAAGGCCGAGTCAGGGCCTCTGGTCCCCTCACATCTCAGCACCTGCCCCCCTCTGCCAGGCTGCCGGGAGGGTGGGTCAGAGGGCCCGAGAGGCAGCAGGGGAGCGAGGCCCCTGAGACCTGCTTGCTACTTACTCGTTCACAAGAATTTATTTAGCAACACTTTCTGCCAAGAACCTTCTATCTAGGTCTTGGAGTTACCCAGACCAATAGCAGTTCCTGCTCTCAGTGGAGCCAACACCCATTCCCTTTCTCCTGATGGGAATTTACCTGGTGCTTGTCCCCTTCAAGTGTGAGACACTTTCAGGGACAGAGCCATCTGTGTCCACTCAGGGCTGCCCGAGGGGATGCCCAGGCCACCAGGCAGTCCACCTCTGCTTTTCCTCCTGTCTCCCCTGAGGTCACAACCCCTTAGGGTGGGGGGGTGCCCACATTTCACACGCACTCGCCCGCACACTCAGACACGTGTTGGCTCAGTGTGGACTCAGGATTGTGGACTCAATCCTTTGTGGACTCAGGATTCTAGGAGGGCACATACGGCAAAGGTGCAACTGTAACCCTAACCTTAGTCTGTTAAGGGTGTGGATCAGATTAAATCGGGGGCGCAAGAGCCCAGCATTCAACTGGAGACCCCAGGCCCCCCTCTCTCGTCTAGTCTGGCGGGGATCAGGTGGGGCCAGGCCCCGAGGCAGGCCCCCTCTGGAGGAACGCCGGGTTGGGGGACCGGTTCCCCCACACCTGCCACCCTCATTCAAGGCCATTCGTGCTCCTCACTCACATTCCTTACGCCCCAGGCCTGCAGCCGCCACGGCAGGCAGCTGACCGGGCAGACAGCTGGAGCTGCTATGTCAGCGGGCCTCGGCCAAGGCAGGTCTGGCTCTGAAGGGACTCTCCAGCCCTTCGCCCTTTCCTTCAAGCCTTCTCCAAGCAGGAGGCTCTGGCCAGAGACCAGGAGCCATGGGCTCTTGAGATTCCAGGGCCCGGTTTCCTTTCTGTGACAGAGGTCCTCTCTAGGAGCCCCGACCCTGTCTGGCTATCTACAGTAATCAGCTCTTGACATCCCTGGGCTCACTCCCTCTGCCTAAGGCAGTCTCCCCTGATAAGGCCATCAGGCATCGGTTTTCTCTGCATATCCCTGAGGACCCTGGACCACAAGAAACCCCACAGGGAGCCAAGCCAGGCAACCCCAGGAGCGGCTAACTACCTCCTCTGGGCTTCTGGGAAGGAACTCCACATCATCTTGGAGGTTCTGCCTTCCCGTCCACAGCCTTTCTAGTCAGCGGCTCCCTCTGTTCCCCTCTGCCTTCCATGCTAACGAAGTTTTCTCCTTCCCTCCCTTGGGGATATTGTCTCTCTTGGGATTTAAAGAGAATGACTTCTTGGGCCCCATTCCACACATTGTCAGTGTGATTAGACCATGGAAACAAATGGATTCGCCACGACTTCATTAAACAGCACCAGACCCGGCCCTCAGTCAAGCAGATGCCTGGAGACATCTTCCCGATCCCTCACGGCAGGACAGAGCAGGAGTTCCGTGGTCCAGCCCCTGGCCCAGCAGTGAAAGGAGACCTCATCTCACAGTGGGGCTCACTGACCTCTGCAGCCCTGAGGGTCTCCAGCAGGGTGGGCAAACCCCACCTGAGCCAGGACCCACCAGAGACTGTGGCACTGTGGTTTATGGTAGGAAATACCCGGTCTGGTCTTCATCCCCGTTTTCTGCCCAGAGCTCCTAAAACCCTTGGGATTTCCTGCGCGATCAGAGCACTAAACACACCTTATGTAGCAATGCGGTGACTCTGGGTGGGCTCCTGGGTGGCAGACAGTCCTCAGAAAGGCCGAGTCATGATTAGAAGCTTGAAATTTTCAGCCCCACCCCTCATTCTCCGAAAAGAGGTAAGGACTGAAAGTGGAGTTAATGATCAATCGTGCCTCCTATAAAAATCCCCAATGTACGGGGGTCCAAGAGCTTCCTGGTTGGCGAACAACATCCACATTGGGAGAGTCCACGCCCACCTCCACGGGGACAGAACCTCCTACACCTGGGACCTTCTCACTCTCTTCCCCTTACAGGTCACACCTGGGACCTCTCACCCTCTTCCCCTTACAGGTCATCTGCATCCTTCATCATATCCTTTCATAAACTGGCAGACCTGTGTTCTCTGAGTTCTGTGAGCCACTCCAGACAATTAATTGGAGCTGAGGAGGGGTCACTGGCACCTCTGAACGACAGCCGATGGGTCAGAAGCACCAGTGACAACGTGGGCTTTCAACCGGCATCTGCAGTGTGTGTGCTGGGGGAGGCAGCTTGCAGGACTGAGTCCTTGGCTTATGGGACCAGACACTACCTCCTGGCAGACAGTGTCAGCATTGAGTTCACCTGTGGGACACCCCGCTGGTGTCACAGGGAATGGCTTGGTGTGGGGAAGACCACACAGCAGGTCGCCAGCAGCACAAGCAGAGGAGGAGACACACAGGAGGGGAACACAGCAGGAATAAACTCTGGGGTCTGTGCCCCCACGGAAGGAAATAAACTGGGTTTTTTTTCCCTACAGACTGAGATGACAAAGAAGGCAAATGAACAAGGAAGAAAAAAAGAGAAAAAGAATCATGAAGAGCAAAGAGGAGTGAAGGAGGGACCAAGCCAGACCTGGGAGAGAAGACCGGTTCTCACGCGTCTTCAGGGACTCTTGCCCCAATTCAGAAGACTGTTCCATGTGGTCACTCTGACTGGCACAGGCAGTCCAGCCAGAAAGCCACCGTCCCCTCACCCCTACTCTCTCAGGTTAAGGTCACAAGCAGCAGGCATAGGGCTGTGCACTGTCAGGGTTGGAAAGGACCCCAGAGAACATTTGGGGTTCTCAGTGGGGGCACTGCTGCATTTTAGGTGGACTGGCTCTTTACTGGGGAGGCTGGTCTGAACAATGCAGGACATTTACGTGGTATCCCGGGCCCTAGTGGGGAGCTCCCTCTTCTCTTCCCATCCTACCATACTTCTAACCCTTCTCCCCGAGAGGGTGCCCTGGCCCCTGTTGAGAACCGCTGTGGCCGCCCCTCGGTGGAGGAAGAGCTGCAAGGGGACAGAGGCCTGGAATTGTGAAGACGGATGTGGAAACGAGTTCACAGAAGACCTTTAAAACAAGGGCCTCAACCTCCACCTCCCCACCTCACCAAGAACCACAGGAGACAACTCGCCCGTTCTGCGCAGAAGGTGCTTCACAGGCTCCCCGGTCACAGGGCGTGAGACAGGACTCATGGGCGGAGAGCGGGGGACTCCATTTCCCTCTTGAGGCTTTGTCTCAGCTGCCACTAGTGAAGCCATTGCCGTGTGCCCTCCCACTCAGCTGACTCCTTTGTCAACCCAGTGACACCGATCCTCCCTTTCAGAAGGATTAGTCAGACAAGTGCAAAAATGGAGAGGAATGCAGAGCGGGAAGTAGCTCCAGCTGCAGGGGGGAGGGAGGGGGAGGTGGAAAGCCTCTAAAATTACCCGCACGCAGATGGGCTGGGACCCCACAGCTGAGGGGCCTCTTGCCTGGTACGGCATTTTCCACCCTCTGGGCCAACACATTTAGAAATAACTTGGTGGCCTTATGTCATGCTGCAATAATAACTCAGGGACAGAGTCACCAAAGCCTACTGAGTCCTGACCAGTCTACAGTAGAGTTCCCAGAGTTGGCAGAGTTATTGGATCGGAACCAAATTTGTCACTGTCTCGTTTCCTCGCCCAAAGCAAGATCACCTGGAGGAAAGCCTGCTGGGTGAGGGCCCTGGGTAGAAGCCGCTTTTCTACAGACCCATCTCGAGGAACCAAGGTTTCAGGGTTTTGGTGTGTGGCCATGGCAGAATAAGGGGTGAAGCTTGGCCTGGGGGAGAAATGAGGACCGGCTTCCTCTGTGGGACTCCCAAAAGAATGAGAAGTTGGACTGCTCCCAGAGGTACTTCAGTGGGGCCCAACCAAGGAGGCCAGGCCAGGGTCCCACCCTCCAGCTTCACCTGAGCCACCTCATTATCTAGAAGTCCAGGCGGGACTAAGCTCATCTGCCCCTCATCTTGACCTTCTGTTATTTGGAAAGGCCAACCCCCGACCTTCATCAGCTCTCCCACTCTGACTGTTCCAACACTGGGTCTCCAAACGTGGTCCCTGGACCAGCCCCTTCAGCATCACTTGGGAACTTGTCGGGACAGCACATTCTCAGGCCCCACCCAGGTCTGGGGAATCAGAAACCCTGGGGGAGGAGGCATCAGGCAATGTTTTCCCAAGCCCTGCGGGTGATCCTCAGCTTGCTCAAGTTTGCGGACAGGGTTGCAGGACCCTTCTCTCTACCCTCTGCCCTTTCTTCATTGAATACTGACATCCTGCCCTCACTTCCTCACTCCCGCCGGATGACTCCCCCCATAGTGGCAGGATGGTCCACCCACTTCTACCTCCTCATCTACCTTGGTCCCCCGGACCCTCGTTTCCCCGCTCCCTGGGCTCCGAGCCGCTCAGTTGTCCTCCATAGGCACCTGCGTGCCCTTCACCCGCCCGCTCCAGCCTCGCTCTCTGACTATTCCTTTCCAGCCCCATGTTTTGATTCTCTTCCTCCGGCCTGCTCAGGGACTTGACATCCCTTCCTTCTTTCCCCAAACACTTGTCTGGGCATCATTTCAACCCTTGCTTCTAAGAAGATAGTTCTGATATCATTACCCCTGTTCCCCAGTTTCCTCAAACTCCACGCCTGCATTTCTGGCAGCTTCTGGGACACTCCTCCTGGAGGCCTAAGAAGCACCTCAATTCCACAGTCCAAACTCAGAGGCACCTTCTTCCTCCACTTTCCTCAAACCACCGCCGCCACCTAGCTTGTCACCCTGACTGTTGTCTGCACAGCCAGTGTCTAAGATCTTATTGGTTTTACCACCCCTGGTCCCCCCGAGGTCACTTCTTCTGGTTATAAACTTGACATGCCATGCACTGCAAAGTCCTCGTGGGTCCGAGCAGAATGGATCCAACAGGAATCGCCTTCCAAGCCAACAACTGCCATCTACCCGGTGACTAAACCCACCAGGTGGAATGCTCCAGACCTGACCCCAAGGGAAGAGGAGGCTTTGGGGACTGCTTGACACGTGCTGAAGACTAGGAGCTCCTACGGGAAGGCCTCAGCCCTCTCTGGGCAGAAAGGATAATAAATCAGATCAGAAGGCCCTCTCTCTGCTTCATGGGCAATTCGGAGTTTTATTTCTGGGTCACTTGCTCTACACTAAGTGACCCTCTGGGGAGGGTTTTCATGTTCATAGTCCTCTGAGACAACTGCTACTTTGTTAGTGAAAGCAATGAAGGGATGTTTGAATCAGAAAGGAGACCTAGGGTTATGGTCAGGGTCAAGGGTCAATGGTGATGGTCAGCGTCAGGGGCAGGATTAGGGTCAGAGGCCATGGGAGAGAGGTTTAAAGCCATCCTGCTCCCTAAACGGACACACTTCTGCTGAAACCATCCTGGTCTCCAGCTCCCCTTGCTGTAGGGCCCCCCAACCCTCCCGCTTTGCCATTTCCCTCCTTTCAAACCCTGGACTCCAGAGCCTTAGCCAAGACCGTCCTGGCTATAGGTGCAGAACCCTGGGACTGGTGGTGGGAAGTGGAATGGAGACAAACAGGGACGCTTCCTTGGCACTGACGATGCTTTGTCCTGTCCTGTTCTCCCAAGGACAGAACCGCACCGCCCTCCCCCGCCTCCTTCCCAGAGTCCAGAGAAGGGAGTTCTGGCCCCGGATCCATCACTGACAGCTACAGACTCAGTTCAAATAACAAACTGGTTTTGCGTTCGGGTTTCTTCACCAAAGAATGCAAATCGTGAAACGCAGCCAGCTTGCTCTACTGCACTGACGTACCAGTAATACCCCGTGTGTGTAAAAGCAGTGCATCATTAACTAATCATTCCCATGACACCTTCCAACGTGCTCCTGACAATACCTGGAGAGACAGGCAGGGAGAGCACTTTTATCCCGTAGTCAGATGAGGAAAGGAAGGCTCCGGAAGGGTCTGCCCAGGACACAGGCTGACGTGGCGCAGAGCAAGGGCTCAACCTGGCCTTCCACACGCTGTGCCACAGGGTCCCAGCACAGTGAGAACCTCGTGGGACACAGCATGCCACTGTTACTAATATAAGCACTATTCTTTCCCAGTGTAGTTATGGCCCAAATAGTCTAGGCGTCTTCAGCACCTCCGACCTGTCATCTCTGCAGCTAAGAAGCAGGCGTGGAATCACTAGCCTCAGGGCTAAAGCAAGGGAGAGCAGAGTCGGCCAGGGAAGAGGGTGAGCCCATGGGTGTTTCTGATGCCACCACCCACGGAGGCCGGCCACACTCTCTGCTGGGTAGAGAGGGCATGAGGTTTTAGGGAAGTTCGTCAACTCCAACGATCCCATTGTGGGGGGTGAAGAGAACTTAAACCCAGAAGGATGACGTGCTTCAGGTCACATAGCTCCTCAGTAGCTGAGTTGGTTGCAGACCCAGCACCCTAATTCTAAGCCCAGTGTTCCTCCCATTCTGCCGGGATTTGGGGGGGCTACTCTCCATCTCACGCAGGCCGGGGCCTAACCCTCCCACCGAGTCTACGGCTGACAGTCAGTAGAGTGAAAGTAATGGGGAGCCGGGCATGGTGGGTCCTTTCCCATAACAGACGTCCCAGGAATGAGGGTGACCCTCTCTGACATCACTGTTTGGTTCCAATGCCAAGCCCGGGCCACACTTTGTCCCCAGAGCCAGGGCAACCCCACGGATGTGTGTGTTGGGCCTTGAGGAAATGCTACTCACGATTTGTCTCGCCTGCCAAGCCGTCTCGGGGGGCTTGCCTGCCTCCTTCGGGGGGACAAGGATTTTCCTCGGCTTCTTACTTGGGTTGGAGAGTGGGCACTTGCAGGTTTCAGGATCTGAAGGTGACATGGGGAGTTACCACACTGGTTTCTAACAGCCCCCGTTCTCGATTCTTCCTACAGCGCAACCCACTCAGGATCCCCCAGGTGACAAGGCCCCAAGCTGGGAGACTTCCAGAAGGAGCTCAGGAGGTCTGAGACATAGACATGCCTCTCTCGCCCTGCGCACTGGCAAAAAGCGAAGCTACCGTGTCCCGGGGGAATGTGATTCCACTAAGCCCCCCTCCCCTCGCAGCTCAGTGAGAGAGCGGCAGAGCCCAGTGCCCAGGCCTCCTGGGGCTGCACTTCACTGTCCAGCAAGTTCCTCTCTGGTGAAGGCAAAGTCCCATCTGCACCGCCCCAGAAATCAGCTCGTTCTTCCTCTGGCTCTCCAACCCCCACACACGCAGAGTGGTTTCAGTGTGTCAAGAATCTCCACTCCAGGTCCCACAGAGTGGAGATGACAAATGCCTACGTGCTAAACATGACCAAGGCTGAACTTGGATAATCCCTTTTCCCTGTGGTGCTTGGTGTCTGCATAGGTTTTCTCTCAGTGACTCTGCAAGCCCTGCAGGGACACGAACAAGCAGGCATCATGTCACATTGGAAGTGACATGGTAGAAGGAAGAAGGGCTTATGAGTCTAGTTAACATAAAGCCAGCGCAGTGCTTGTGCCTTTTTGGGCTATTATGGCACCAGAGCAGAATTTTTTGCCAAGGAACTCTGCTACTTATTAAGCAAAGCAGAGATATGATGTGACGCTGAAATAGGTTATAAAGTCAGGTGACCCACCCACTGGTCCTGGTTTGCCCAGGACTTTCCTGGTTTTAGTTCTGAAAATCTCATAGCCTGGGAAACTGTTTGGTTTCAGGGAAATTAGGATGATCGGCCACTCTCTTACAAAGGCAAAACAGCCCTAGCTGATGTGGCTCAGTAGATTGAGCACCAGCCTGTGAATGAAAGGTTCTCTGGTTCAATTGCCAGAAAGGGCACATGCCTGGGTTGTGGGCCAGGTCCCCAGTAGGGGGTGCACAAGAGACAACCACACACTGATGTTTCTCTCCCTCTCTTTCTCCTTCCCTTCCTCTCCCTAAAAATAAATAAAATCTTTTTTTTAAAAGGCAGAACAGGACAAAAATACCTAGAGCCTTAGTATAAAATGACTAACATTTTAGACTGATTTCAGAGAAGGAACTGTGGACCAAGACATTACTTTAACTATAACACCTAAGTAGACTTTGGTTTTTGAAGTATATATGCAAAGAGAGACTTTAACTGTCCATGTCAAATAGCAAATGACTTATCTTTTTTGGTTTAATAGGGTGGCTACCAGGCAAGGTAACCTCAAGAAACTTTTGAGCATCCCAGAAATATGGAGCATAGGACAAGATGGGGGTGGGGAGACGGAGACAGACAGAGAGACACAGAGCTCTCTTGCATCGCACGCTTGCCTTCCCAGCTCCTACCTTCATCCTCATGTCCCTGGCGTATTTCTCCAGCTCCTTCCTTATGTCAGCCCTCAACATCTTTGAGACATTGAGGACCAGCTGCTTCCACTCAATAGGCTGGAAGCTATGAGGTTCATGGGGGACATACAGCCCAATCTTGACCTTCTTGACTGTGTGCAGGTATTTCTTGTAGGAGTCTTCAAAGTCAAAGATAAGGTCACTCAGAGTCCGAAAGGTCAGCGGCTTGTCCATCAGCTCCGCCCTCCGGCTCATGCCCAACGAGCCATAGTGGCCATTGCAATAAATCCCCAGCACGACATGGTGAAAATAGTTTCCTGAGAAGTAGGTTTTAAAGCTGATGGGGAATCGCTCGATGGAAGGCTGTCCATTGGTTAAGTAGCTTAGATCGTCTGGGTCAAGGAAGAGGAAGGAGGCCTTGAAAATTCCCAGAGCGCAGACTCCCAGGAAGGGAAAGTGGCCCGTGGGTCATAGAGTCCATGCCTCTGCCTCTGAGCAGGCCCGCTCCCCACCTTCCCAGACTAATCCTGTTTAAAGGATTCCTTCAGTATCTTTGAGTACCTACTACGTGGTGCACCAAAACCAGATTAATATGGGACAAAGACGAAGAACTTGCCATCTTCTTTAGTATTACATAAGTACAAACTTAACAATAAGCAAGACTTCCGGCCAAAATGGAGGTGTATGTAGATACACTGTGCCTCCTCGCACAACCAAAAGAAGGACAACAATAAATTTTAAAAGAAGAAACAACTAGAACTGCCAGAGGATCGAACTGTATGGAAGTCCAACAACCTCACGAGTTAAAGAAGACACACTCGTCCAGACCAGGAGGAGGGGAGGAGACAGGCAGCCGGGAGGAGAGGACAAACAGCAAGGTGGTGGCTGGCGGACCACGCAAAAGTGGGCAGTCACACATCTGCGTGTGGATAAACTGGGAGGAACAATTAGGGAGCGAGACAGACCATACAACCCAGGGTTCCAGGGTGGGGAAATAAAGCCTCAAAGCCTCGTACTGTAAACACCTGCGGGGGTTGAGGCAGCAGCAGAAGAAACTCCCACTCTCACAAGAGAGTTCACTGGTGAGACCCACAGAGTCCCAGAACACAGACATACCCACCCACCCGGGAATCAGCACCAGAAGGACCCAATTTACTTATGGGAAGTGGGAGAAGTGACTGAAAGCCAGCAGAGCAAGCACCATTGTTCCCTCTTGGAACCCTCCCCTACATACAGCATCACAAAGCAGTGACGTGTTGCCCCGCCCTGGTGAACAGCTAAAGCTTACTATGCAACAGGTATGCTGAGACAAAAAAAAAGGGGGGCCCAAAAGAAAGAACAGATCAAAACTCCAGAAAAAAATACAACTAAGGAACAAAGAGATAGCCAACCTATTGGATGCAGAGTTCAAAACACTGGTAATCAGGATGATCACAGAATTGGTTGAGTATGGTCAAAAAAATAGAAGAAAAAGTGAAGGCTATGAAAAGTGAAATAAAGGAAAATATATAGGGAGCCAACAGTGACAGAAGGGACACCAGAACTCAAATCCATAGTTTGGACCAGAAAGAAGAAATGAACATTCAACTGGAACAGAATGAAGAAACAAGAATTCAAAAAAAATGAAGAGAGGCTTAGAAACCTCCAGGACAACCTTAAATGTTCCAGCATCCAAATCACAGGGGTGCCAGAAGGAGAAGAGGAAGAACAAGAAATTAAAAACTTATTTGAAAACATAACGAAGGAGAACTTCCCCAGCAGGCAAAGGAAATAGACCTCCAGGAAGTCCACGAGCTCAAAGAGTCCCAAAGAAGATGGGAAGCACCAAGGCACACACCAAGGCACATCATAATTACAGTACCCATGATTAAAGGAGGTAATCTTAAAAGCAGCAAAAGAAAAGGAGACAGTTACCTACACAGGAGTTTCCATAAGACTATCAGCTGATTTTCCAAAAGAAACCTTGCATGCAAGAAGGGGCTGGAAAGAAGTATTCAGTCATGAAAGGCAAGGACCTACATCAAGATTACTCTATCCAACAAAGCTTTCATTTAGAATGGAAGGGCAGATAAAGTGCTTCCCAGGTTAGGTCAAGTTAAAGAGGTTCATCATCACCAACCCCCTATTATATGAAATGTAAAAGGGACTCTTCTAAGAAAAAGGAGGTAAAAAACATGAACCGTAAAATGACAACAAACTCACAACTAAAAAAAACAACCGAACATAAAAACAAAAACAAAAACAAAAATAAAAGAGAATTAAGCAAACGACTAAAACAAGAATAGAATCACAGAAATGGAGATCACATGGATGGTTATCAAGGGGGAGGGGGAAGGGGAAGAATAGGGGGAAAGATACAGGGAATAAGAAGCATAAATGGTAGGTAGAAAATAGACAGGGGGAGGTTAAGAATAGTATAGGAAATGTAGAAGCCAAATAACTTAAACGTATGACCCATGAACATGAACTAAGGGGAGGGGAATGCGGGTGGGAGGGGTAAGCAAGACGAAGGAGAATAAAACAGGGGGATGAGACAACTGTAATAGCATAATCAATAAAATATATTTAAAAAAAACAATAACAAGGTACTTTTCCTGCCTCAATTTTCTACAGGGGATTACATGCTTTTAAAGGGATTTTTATGCAGCCCTGACTAGTATGGCTCAGTTAGCTGGGCATCATCCCACAAAGCTCACCAGTTCAGCTCCTGGTCAGGGCACATGCCTGCGTTGCAGGTTCAGTCCCTGGTCAGGGTGCATTTGAGAGGCAACTGATTGATGTTTCCTTTTCATATCAATTTTTCTGTCCCCCTCTTTTTCCTTCCCTTCCCATCTCTCTAAAAATAAATAAACACCTTTTTTAAAAAATAAAGATTTGTTTATTCAATTGGAATGATGTTCTCAGACATTAACTCTGGCTGGAGTATGTGGGGCAGACCAGGAATTGAAGGCCCCTGCAATGTTCACAGGAGAAATGACAACCAGAATCAAGGCAGAATCAAGGGGTGCTAATCCAGGTATCCTTAAAAGAAAAGGGCCGATAGAACTCAGCCCATGGGCCTGAGGTCAGCCTTGTCCTCTGCCCTGAATTTAATCATAGAGCACTCCTGTCTATAAAATGCTTTCTCTTCACTGCATCATGTGTGATTAACTGGCAGTCAGGAGTGAAACCACATCCTTCTGAGTCCTCTTACATAAATTCTTTCTTGCTTTCTGGGGCGAGTTCTCTGGGGCTGGCATAAGGGCATTCCTTAGCTGTTTTAAGTCAGTGTAACAAACACTTACTGAGTGAGTACCTCCTGGCCAAACAGACTGCGGGGCAGGGCTGTGGGGCCCTTCTCTGGATGTCTGGTGGGGAGAGAGACTCGAAATGGACACAATAGGGTCAGAACAGTCATTCCTCAGAAAAATTACAGTTACTATATGATCCAGCAATTCCACTTCTGGGTCCATATGCAAAAGAATTAAAAGCAGGGGCTAGGCCCTGGCTGGTGTAGCTCAGTGGATTGAGCACGGGCCTGTGAAACAAAGGGTCACCGGCTCGCTTCCCAGTCAGGGCACATGCCTGGGTTGCAGGCCAGGTCCCCAGCAGGGGACACATGAGAGACAACCACACATTAATGTTTCTCTCCCACTCTTTCTCCTTCCCTTCCCCTCTCTCTAAAAATAAATAAATAAAATATTTTTAAAAATAAAAAGTTTAAATAAATACATACATACACACATACAGAAATAAATAAAAGCAGGAGCTAGAATGGACATCTGCACACCCGTGTTCACAACAGCATTACCCACAACAGCCCAAAGATGGGAACAGCCCAAGCGTCCAGGGACAGATGAACGGATAAACACCCGGGGTATATACGTACAATGGAATGTTGTCCAGCCCTTAAGAGGCAGATAATTCTAACACACATCATGAACAAATCTTGAGAACATTTTGCTAAGTGAAACGAGCCAGTCACAAAAGGACAAACTCTATGTGATTCCACTTTGTGAGGCATCTGGAGCAGTTGAACCCACACAAAAGAGACAAAAGTAGACTGATGGTTGCCAAGGGCTGGGGGCTGGGGCTGAGGGGTCAGTGTTTCATGAGTGTGCCGTTTGGGCTGCGGAGGAGGAGGAGGTTCTGGAGATGGATCGTGGTGACGGCTGCACGGAAATGTGAATGCTCTCGGTGCCACTCAGCTGTCCCCTTTTGTTATGCTGTTGCCTTAAACTTACACAGTCCTTCCCTGGCCAGTGTGGCTCAGTTGGTTGTCCCATAAACCAAAAGGTCACGGGTTTGACCTCCAGCCAGGGCCCCTGGCTGGGTTGTGGGTTCGGTTCCCGGACAGGGCACCTTCGGGAGGCAACCAATAGAGGTTTCTTTTCTCTCTTGCATCGACGTTTCTCACCCTCTGTCTCTCTCTCCCTCCCTTCCTCTCTCTCTAAAATCAATAAGTATGTCCCTAGATGAGGATAAAAGCAAGCAAACAAATTTGCACAGTACTGTACACTAATTATATCTCAACTAAAAAAACCCTAAAATGTGATGTTTGCTGTAAGAGATAAGCCAGAGATCTTAGGGAGAGCAGAGGCCCCAAAATTAGTCTTATGGGACAGAGTCAGCCATGTGGACAAGTGGGGATCTGACAGGAGAGACCACCAGCGTCACCTGTCACACGTCACTAAGCACTAGGATGTGTTCCATCATTACGGCCATTAGTAAAGCCTTGGGTCTTAGAACAACTGGGACCAAGGGGGAACAGACAAGGAAGTGTGGATAAGGGGGGTGAAATTCTCTTCTAGGAAAGAGAAAACGGCAGGGACCCAAAACCCTGGAAGATGTGCCCAGCATCCGGCCTGCTGGGGATATGCCTGACATGCCTCTGCTAATGAACCTGTTACTTACATAACCATAGTGCTTTAGTACCATAATTAAGCCCCACCAGGCTCAGCAAGGGCCCCCAAAGAACTGCCATTTCTCAATGCTAATTGGACCCCAAGGTCTGGCCCTCAGGCAAGTGTGTGAAAGTGTGCACGTGTGCAAGATGAAGACAATGGCTCTTTGTGAATGAACCCTGGACTCTGCGCTAAGGGGAGGACACAGGCTTCCAAGAAGCAGCGACAGGTTTCCCAGAACCAGCGGGCACGGGGGTGGGGTGGGGCTGCAGAGGCACAGACAGATGGCCCTTGTCAGGACCTTCCCTGTGCCCGAGAGCAGAGCAGGCCACAGGGACGCTGACACAGAGCAAAGAGCAAAGATAAAGATGCTGTAACTTTTAGAATTCGGGTTTGCGTTTCTTGTCTGTGTCCAGGAGTCAAATTTCCCTGAGTTGGGCAGTGTGAGCCCAATTTCTGTACCCTCCCCACCCTTTTCTGAAATGTCACACTGGGAAGGACAAAGGGAAACCAGGAGTGTGCTATCCTTGCACTTGGACGGGTCTGGAAGCTGGTAACAGGCCTAGCCCCACAATCCTAAAAGTCTGTAGGTAATTCCTGTAACTTCAGGTAAGGCTGGAATTTCTGAACTGGCACAGGGACAAGACTGTCGTGTCCATGAGTGCTATAAAGCAAGTGGCCTCTGTCCAGGTGCACTCAGACATCCGTCAGCAGACGTCTGAAGTGACTGGTCCGCCCAGCGAGGGGCCTGCGCTTGTAATTCCCCCCTTCTCTGATCTCCACCAGCAAATCCCCAACAATTGTTCACCCCCATTAAACTTGCAGGAGGCTCTGCCCAACAGCTGTCCTGGGCCCTAAGCCATCTGCTGCCCCCACTCATCGTGGTCCTGCCCTCCCTGTGGGCTCCTGGGTACACATTCTATCCCAGTGGGGAGCAGGGAGGAGGTTGGACTGGAGGGCTGGGGAGGGGCTTCTGTAGGGCTCAAGTTTCCGTTTTTGAAATGTCAGCCTGGGCACCTGTGGACTCTCTCGTTTCAGATCAGGCCTGCCATTGCACTGCGGACTGCAGTGGGGCGGACGTTCCCCGTCCCCTAAAAACGCCCAGGGGACCCGAAAGCAGCCAAGACCTGTCCCACTGTCCGGCCCACCCTTCCGCTGATTTCTGTGTCTCCTTTGCTAGTTTTCCTTCCACCTCTCCAGCTGTCCTTCTTAGTGTCATTTATGGGCTCTTTGGGTCAATTAGACCAAAAATGGTGAGATTTCATCCTTGATCCTTTTCTCTTCCGGCTCCATGAACAGTATCTGTCGCCCTGTAAACACATGGCTCCCAAGCTTGTGTTTCCAGCACAGATCCCCTCCTGAGCTCTGGACTCCAAGTACCCCGCCCGACATCCCACAGGCACCTCGAGTTCAGCATGCCCAAATCTGAATGCTCCAGTCCCCATCAGTCTGATCCTCTTCTTTACATCCTTCCCTTGGACTGTGGCAGTATTATCCAATCATCTGATTTTCCAAACCGGAAAGGGGAGTCACCGCCTCCTTCCCCTGACTCCTCACATCTCCTCACAGCACAAGCGTCGATGACACTCCCAGCGCCCGCCCTCACCTTCACTGCTGCCGTCTTAGTTCACATCCGCACGGAGGTGTCTTCTCACCTTTCCATCATCCCCGTCCCTCCAGGCCCTCCTGCACAGACCGTGGCTGATCGCTCCCTCTTCAGCCTCCACGCCCCACTGGCCTCCGAGACCTGTCAATTCTACCTCTTTCATAGCTCTAGAAACTGCCCCTCAAATCCGTTCCCATTGCCGGGACCAGGATGCAAGCCTCACCACCTCCCTGACGGAGCAGCTCCTACCTGGCTCTGCAGACCAGGCCCCCCAGCCTTCTCCCGGCTGCCCTCCGATCTGCCCCAGGAATGACCTCGCTAAGGCGCCCATCTGGTCACGGCACACCTCTGCTCCAGAGCTTTCAGCTGGGCTGCCCACTGTCTTTCTGGAAAAGGTCGCACTTTTCAGCACAGCGCCCAAGGGCCTAATCGGCCTTACCTGGGCCACCTTTGAAGCCCAGGCCTTGCCATGTTTCCTTGGTCACAGGCCTTTCTAGCCTTCACCCCAAAGGACTGGGAGCCCCTTTGCTCTTCCATCAGATCGTGTTCCCACCATCACCACTAACACGTCGGTGCCATCATGGTTTTCTGGGCTTGGCATTCAGCCTCGAAGCCAGGAGTCGGTGGAAAGTGGAACGGGAGTGTGGGAGAGACCAGACCTTGGTGTCGGCTCCGTGTCCCACGCAGCCAGGACACTACAGTTACGTGGTCTCCTCTGCAGTCTACTCATAGACTCTCCCCGGAGATGGGGTTGGAGGGTTCCACTTCCTCTTGATGCCTTTCCTATTGCAATGCCAAATGAATGCAAAAACAAAACAAAACACTAAACAATGATACTCCCTGGCCAAGTAGCTCAGTTGGTTAGAGGATTACTCAGACACACCAAGGTCATGGGTTCAATTCCCTGACTGGGCACATACAAGAATCAACCAATGAAAGCCTAATAAGTGGAACAACAAATTGATATCTCTTTCTCTCTCAAAACTCAATTTAAAAAATGATACACACTCTCTCTAAAAAAATCAACAATAATTTTTTTAAAAAACCAATGATACATACTCTTTCTCTAGTCCCTCCAAGTTAAAATTCTCCTTGCGACTAGCGAGGCTGGCCCGAGAGCTGGCCCGGGTGCCGGCACCAGCCAGCAGGTCACGCCGGTGGTGACCCAAGGAGCCAAGCTCTGACTGAGTCCAACTCCAGGCGGCAGAAGTTAGAGAGAAACATCAGGGAGCTCGGTGCTTTCCTCCAAGGAGACAACGGCCATCGTCCCTGTTAAAGGAACTAGGACGTTAAAGGCACAGCCAGTGCTCAGACGGCGGAGTGAGGCCACCATCTACAGAGCAAAATGAAGCAAGTGTGACTTAAAGGATACATGCCCAGGATGACAGCTTCAAGGCATTTAATAGGCAAGGACTCTCGAGTCATTTCTTTCGCTGTTTCCATTAACCTGTAGGACAGAGCACAGCAAAAGATCTCAGGACGTATTTAACGATGCAATGGGTCTGTCAGTCAATCCATCAGCATGCCCGCCTCCACACGAGGCACAGTGCAGGAATACAGAGGGAAAGGGGAGAGCTCGCTTTGCAGGAGGGTGCCAGAGCACCTCCCCACTCGGCAGGAATAAAATCCTAAATTCCCCACTCCTCCTTCCAAGAGCTAGTTCCTGGGTGCTAGTGCCCATATTTCGTAGCACGCTCCCATGGCCTCAGGACAAGGGGCAACACATGGGCAGGTAAAGGGGGCCACATGAAACAATCTCATAGGCCTCCCCCACCCCCTGAACGAGTTAAATCTCCATCCCTGAGCTTGGCGGTTAAAGTGGCCCAGACCCCAGCCCCACCTCCAACATGGGCCTGGGGCACCCCCGTCTCCGCCCCTTAGAGACCAGAATACTGAGCACTGGGATACAGGGATAGAGGCTGGGAGAGGGAGTTAGCAGCTCCCGGGTAGAAAGGAGGTCACTGGTCCACAGGTCATGCACAACTTACCCACTCAGTGGTCTCATTTTCCTAATTTCAAAGAACTGGGTCCCTGTATGATTGTATCTGTGTGAAGTAGGTAAAGGGAAAGTGACCGAAAACTCCCAAGGTCCCAGAAGTCCAGCAGAGGAAGGCATGCATTGATTTCTCAAGGGGATGAGGAAGTGAGGGCTTTCCAGGAGTCTAGTAGCCAGAAGGCAGTCCCGTCCTCTACCTCCTCACTGTCCTGCCTGGACATCTGGTTCTAACTTGGGCCCCAAAGCACCTTGGACCTTTAGAATAGCTATTTTCACCCTGCTCTATGTTCTGGTTAGTTGAATACTGTCTTAATTGATCTACTAGACTACAAGTTCTTTGAGAGTTGGGACTATCTATTTATCATCTTTATATCAACCATAAAGCCTGGCATAAGCCCAATATATTCCAGTGAGCATATATTATTAAGTGAATGAGGAATAAGGGAATGGGTGGGTGGAAGGGTAGATGGTTGAATGATGGACTAATGGATGGATAGATAGATGGATGGATAGGTGGGTGGATGGATAGATAAAAGGAAGAATGAATGTAATTGATGATTGGAAGGGTGGATGAACAGTAGGAAAGCCAGATGGCTGGCTGGATAGACAGAAGGGGCAGGCGGACAGGAGGACGGATGGATGAATGGATGGACGGAATGGAAGGATAATGTATAGAAAAGTGGATGGATGGCAGTGGCGTTTCTCAACAGTGCAGGCTGCAGCAGAACTTACTATGGAAACAGCACTTTTATTTCATGCTCAGACTGACCCTTGACATTGATTACTACATGTGACGAGATGACATTATCCACAACCTGGGCTTCAGCTGGTTGCCCAGAAGGTCTCAGGGACTGGAGAGCCTGCACGGGGCTATTCTGAAAGACACCAAAGATTCCCTAATGCCATGCTCCCTGAGACTGAATCTGGATTTTTCTAAGCCCAGGGAAGCGTTGCTTTGTGACTTTCCCCATCCCGCCTCAAACAAAATCCTGTAGCAAAAGTGCACATGGGGAAGTTTCTAATGAAGCATGGACTTGTGACCTTGTGAAGCCGGTAAGGTGGGTGTATGAGGTGAGATGTGTGCCCCTACTGTGGGGGAGACACTGTAGAGGGTGGTGCCTAAAACCCAAGGGCACTGCGCACCCCTCTGAGAAGGGCCGGGAGCCCTCCCCCGGCCCGGATGTGCCTGGCAGCTCCGCTCAGGCAGGAGCACACATGACAATGGCCTGTGGTGCTCACTAGGTCTCCACCTCTGGAATCTGAGCCCGGGCCACAGTTTGAAGCCTAGACGCCATTTAGAGTCACCTCATCTGGGACCATTGAATTGGAAGTTCCAGGGTTGGGGCCAGGGGCTGATTTTAAGCAGCTCCCAGTGTGGAAATGACCGGCATGGCCATAAGAACAACCGATAACAATATAGGCTTGCCTAGCTTTAAAAAAAAATAATAATGTACAAAGCTAAGAGGTAAAAGAAAAAAATCTATTCTCCTTGGGAGGTGATTTACTTTTTACTTTACCAAAGACTTCATTCAGTGAGATTCTGGTATATTGAAAGTAGAATTCAGCCCTGGCCAGATGGCTTATTAGTTGGTTGGGTCATCATCCTGTACGCACCAAAAGGTTGCAGGTTCCATCCCCGGTCAGGGCACGTACAGAAGGCAACCCATTGATGTTTCTCTCTCCCACGGATGCTTTTCTTTCTCTCTCTCTCTGTCTCTGTCTTTATAAAATCAGTGAACATATCCTCAGGTGAGGATTTAAAAAATATAAAGAAATTAAAAATTTAAAAAATATACAATAGAATTCAACTGGCAAAAGTGCAATGTATACGGCCAACTTTCCCTGTTTGTATATCTAGCTTACACATCTAATGCATAAAGTGAGACAAACCTATAGTGAAATAATGAAAAATCGCCTGGCCGTCTTTTCTCAGTTCCTAATAGTTATCAGCTCCCGCCAGTGAGCTGGGGAGGGAAGCGTCCCGTACACACAGCCGTCAGAGTGGCGGGCTCGCTGGCCCAGTCCACCCTCAGCAGAGCTCGGGGGACACCTCTCTCCAGAACCCCGTGCAGAATCAGCGCTGCTGCTGGCCAGGGCTCCGAGGCTGTCAGAAGGGAAGGCAGGGTTTGTCCTTCCACTGAGCCACTGCCTGCTGGGCACATCCCAGGTCAAGGCTGGCCCCCAGAGGTCCCCATGCTCTAGCACCTGGCATGCTGTTTGCTGCTTGGGACAAAGCAGGAGGAAACTCCAAGACATGAAGTAAAAGCCTGGTCAGAAGGTAAACCAGAGGCCACACTATGTTTTCTTTCTGTGGAGGCTCCAACGGCCAGGGGACAGGGAGCGCAGGCCAGCAGCCTGTGCTGTTTCCCTTCTTCAGGCCTCTCTGCGGCCAGCGATCCGGGTCAGTGACCATCAGAATGCATCAGAGAAAACGGACAAAGCCGCTCCTTCAGGGCAGCCGCGAAAACTCGCCTGAGAATGTGCTGCAGGGTTCAGCAGAGAATGCAAATCTGCCCCAGTTGGTGCATTCGCCACCGGGCTCATTCTCTTTCATCTCTGGTCAAAAGATCCTTGTGCACATCCATTTTAACTTCTGTCGCCTCCTGCAACGTTCTGTGACGAGTCGGTTTTGGGGTCCCGGTCTGCTGTGGCAGGAGTTTATGCCTCTGGACCACATGGAGCTCCCCATGGAGGGTCCCAGTTGGGGGATCAGCACGACACCAGAGAGCCTTCTGAGGGCTGGCGCTGCCCGCCCCACCCCTGCAGGCTGGTGCTACCCACTCCCTCTAACACAGCTTCAGCAGGCCACTGGGATAAAACGCCGTGCAGGGGAGTTCATGATCAGTAAAGTGGGGACTGAGAGGCTAGTCAAGTAATCTGCCCACTCAAAAGAGCAGAACTGGTGTTATTCCCATATGGTCCTATCTGTCCCTTAGGGGGCACAAGTCACAAAAATCCACAGGAGAGATTCTTGCCTATAGCACAGAGAGGCGGGGCCTCTTGCAGGGCATGGGGGCATGAGTCAGTGCCCCCGTGGAATCCTTTCTGCTAAGTTCTGGGTCTTTAGGGGGAAGGACAGAGGTCAGCAGAAGCTTGACCTGCAGGACAAAGTGCTGGGGGTCTGCAGGGTGTCTGACGCTGGCTTTGCTCTGAGCTGCCACTGACTTGCTTCGACAAATGGCCTGTCCCTCTCACATACCCCTGCCAGCCCAGCCTGCACCTGGCTCCCATCCCGGATAAAACACCAGAGCCTCCAGTGCACCGTCGCCCCCGCCCTTTGTTCTCACAGCTGCTCCCGTGGGCCCTCGGAACTGACCTAATCTAATCCCATCTGCAAACAATCTGAGGACACCGGAGGAGAAAAAAACACAGTCTGGCTGGCCTGAACCCAGCCGGGACCTACAGGGATCCCCGGCTCTTCTCAAGCTCAAGTGAGGGGAGAGGGAGCCCATCCCAGAGCCCCACTCATTCATGCAGAACAGAGCAAGGCCACCAGCCTGGTCCCCCCAGGGAGCCAGAGGCAGTGCTGGTGGGCCTCAGTAGACTATGAGCACTCAGAATGAAGGCAGAAAGGGAGAGGAAAGAAAAGAAACAGGAGACTAGGAAAAGGGAGAAATACAAACTAGAGAGGAAGGGAAAGATGACAAAGGAGGAGGAAGAGGTAGAAAAAGAGGAGAGGATGGAGGACAGAGGGGCTGGGGTGGCCGCCGCCGCCCCAATGCCTCCTTGCCATCCTGGCCCACGTGCTGCTTCAAAGGGAGGAGGGTCTGATCAGTTCCATCCTGTTATCACTCCTGGACTCTCGCATAGGGGCATCCCTCCATGCCCGGCCTCACCAACCTTAGAGAGCATTTGCTGACCAGCTGGGGACAGGCATGCCACCAGGCTGGCGATCACCTCGCCCGTGCCCTGGCTGAGTCTGCTCAGACCCTGGTTGGAAGGATACTGTAGTGTCTTCATGTAGTTCTGAATGGCCTGCAGCCAGTCTGGGATCGTCATCGACAGCCTGTAGTTTGGAACCTGGGGTACTGAAGGCTGTGGAGAAGTAGAGAGAGATCTTTTTATCAGGAGACACTCTGGGGCCCAGGGCTTGGGGGCAGGCACGGGGCTGCGGGCCCCGGAAAGCTGCTCCTGGGAGCAGATAGCCACCTGACGTGGTCGCCTGTTCAAGCGGTACTTCCTGGACAAGGGTCTCCCACACCAGCCGGTCCCTTGCTGAAGTCCTCCCTTTCTGCACCCCCTCCACACACACTCCACCCGGGTCACAGTGGTTCCCCATGGCCCTCTGTGTGTTGTGAGTGGAAACCCGACCAGCGTCCCTGGAAGCCTGAGCCCCTCACTGAGGCCAAGGACCATGCCAGAGTCTGGCCGGAATGTTCACAGCGGCGCTCCATTAACCTCACATTTCACTGCATGCGACACCTTTGGCAGCAAGGTCGGCGTGACCCATTCTGTGTGCACCACTTTGGGGCACCCCTGAATGCACAGTGAATGGCGCCCTGAGGAAATGCAACAGAGCCCCTCGGCCACCCTTTCTCCTCACCACCCCCCCCCCCGTGACGCCCACCGCCTCCTCTGGGCCCAAATGGATCAGGACAGATTCCCCTCGGGCCTTCCCAGGTCAGTGCAGCCCCTCAGCTGCCCTGTGCCCTCTTCAGTTCCTGGTCTGCCTCCTGGTCAACATTCACTGAGTGTCCACCAGCCCTGCAGGGCAGAGAAAGGAGCAACAGCAGGCAAGGGCGAGAGGGGGGAGTGTAAGCACCTCTTCTAGGGAATTTAGAGCCAAGGCAGCCTCACCTCTGAGCGGGCTTGGCAACGAGGCCGCAGGTAAGAACAGGGCGGGGCTTCCAATCCAATCACTGGTGGAAAGCAAGGAGCGGTTTTTGCTCTATCCCCCCTATGTTTCTCCATCTCTTAACCTCAGCCTCTCTGGTAGGGTGGAGCCATCGGGGACAGAGACAGCACAGTGCACCTGTGGCCCCAGCAATGCGATGAGCGTTCAGGGAGGAGAGCGGAGGTTCCTCCAGGTGAAAGCCCTTAGGAAGGACAGAAGGGACCTCAAGACGCTTAGTTCCATCCCAGGAGAAAACAGGGAAAGGGAGGCCCTGGGGGATTTAGGCCTTAGCTGGTGGACAGTGAAGCTGCCGCTCTGACCTGGGGTGCTGGCTGGGCCGAGCGCTCTCTCGGGCTCCGGAGGTTCAGGCCCACAGTGAGGCTGGAGGGCGAGCTGCCCTGGGCCTGGGGCGGGTGCGGGGAGGGAGAGGAAGGGGTGGTGGTGCTCATACTTCTACACCCTGGGCGGCATTTACTTAAAATGCTACTTGACACTCTTTTCCTCCCAGCGCCTCTATTCTCTCTCGGCTTTGAGACTTCCTACTGCACAGCAACTGCCCCTTCAACAGAAAGGAAGCTACTCACACTTCCCACTTCACAGCCAAGGTGCTGTGTGCATGTGAATGTAAGAGTGTGTGCAAGTGTGGGCACACACACGCTGCTCTGTGAGCCACATTTCGATGACAACGTAGCAACTCAAATCGCTTTCTTATCTTGGAGTCATTTTGGGGAGCAAACGTTCCAATGCGCTCCCATGACCCCCCCAGAAGAGTCAAACGATGAAGTGTGTCTTCATGTTTCTGCCCAACGAACACCAAGGGGTGTCCAGCCTGTCCCTGTGTTTTTGCAGTAACATCCACTGACCTACCCAAGCTGGGGATTCTGGGTCAGAACGCGTCAGAAATTTCGCAGAGAAGTGGAGAGAGAATGGGAGACACATACAAACACCTCTTTAGCAGTCCCCAGCTCCAGAGTGGGTACGAACAGGGGAGAGAGCACAGAGGGAGGGAGGGGGGAGGAATGAGACGGTCTATTAAGTCACCAGCAAGTTTCTACACAGAAAAGTGCTGTTGGCGCCTATTTAATAGAAAGGCTGGTCAGGATGGGGGAATGCCCCACAGAATCACAGGCCCCCTAAGGGATACAACCCCAGGGGGCATTTGTCGGCCACAGCCCTGACGTGGCCAGAGTGACTGTGTTCAGAGCCATGGGGGCCAACCACCAAATTATTTCCACTCCAGCAAGCCCCACAGAGCCCACAAGAGCCAGATGATGGGGTGGGAGTCAGGCGGCAGCTGGTCCTAAGAATAGCAGCTCAATGGCGCCCAAGGGCTTTTAAAAACAGCTGCCTGGTTACCTCAGCCCCTGCTGAGAGCGAGTGGCCACATTCCCCAAACCCCAGCTGGGGAGCAGAGCTGTGGTGGGGAGGGGGCCGGAGGCGCCGAGGGGATGACGTCATCTGGCTCCAGCTTCCCCTGGCCCGTGGGAGAGCTGACCTGCGCTCAGGCTGGGACTCGGCTCCCACGCAGCCCCTCTGGCTGCTGTCGCCCCCACCGGGCAGTGGACAATCAACCAGGGGGGGCTCCTTCAGGTGCGATTACGCATCCAACACAAGGTCCAAGTGCCTGGTCTGTCACCTGCTGGCTGGGGACCCTGGTCGCGCTGCCTGACTTCTCTAAGCTGCCATTTCCTTCCTGATAAAAGAGCAGACTGTCACCTACTTCAAACCTCCAGGGCTGGTTAGGAGGATTATATGATCTAATGTATACGGCAGGCAACTCGAGGCTTGGCCTCTGCTGCTCTTTAAGTGTTAGCTGTGTAATTATTCCTCTGCTGCATGTCTTCAGGGGTCTGAATGGGGAGGCCTGAAATGGTTTCACTTTTCAGGAGCTGCAAAACAGATTCGGCACAGGCTGAGCCCCTGGACACCCGGGAGCATCACTAAGATGCTTTCTCACCCTAATAAACGAGGACGCAACCACCCACTTCCCCTGGGACCAGGAGTGAATCTCCCTAACTCATGAAGAGTTCACACAAAGGCTAAGAAAACTTTTTAGGCCTCAAAGGAAAAAAATGGCCCCAAAGGGTGGAAGCAACCCAAGTATCCATCAACAGATGAATGAATAAACAAAACGGGGCGTATACACACATGGAATAGTATTCAGACACAAGGGGGAAGGACATTTTGACACATGCTGTAACTTGGATGAACCTCGAAGACCTTATGCTAAGTGAAATAAGCCAGTCGCAAGGGACAAATAATTGTACAATTCCTCTTCTATGAGGTTTGCAGAGTTGTCAAATTCAGAGAGAAAGAAAGTAGCTCTGGCAGGCGTGGCTCAGTGGATTCAGCGTGGACCTGTGAACCTAACGGTCGCTGGTTCAATTCCCAGGCAGGGCACGTGCCTGGGTTGCAGGCCAGGTCTCCTGTAGGGGGAGCACGAGAGGCAACCACACATTGATGTTTCTTTACCTGTCTTTTACCTTCCCTTCCCCTCTGTCTAGAAATAAATAAATAAAATAAGCTTTCTTAAAAAGTAGAAGAATGGTTGCCAGGGACTGGGGGTGGGAAGGTAGAATGGGGAGTTACTGTTTACGGGGTGCAGAGTTTCAGGTGGGGAAAAAGAAAAGGTTTTGGAGATGGAAGGTGGTGATACTGCACAACAATGCACAGAACTGAACACTTAAAAATGGTGAAAGTGGTCAATTATGTTACGTATAGTTTACCGCGATTTTTTAAATGGCCACGAAAAGACAATTTACCCCCCAAAAAATGCACATAGTGAATAAATATCTTTTAAAAGTTCTAGCCCCCTAATAACTTAAGAAACACAAATTAAAGCCACGGCTAAATGCCATCATTCGCCTCTGCATTTGCAGAGACATCCCGAAACGCTCACGCTCAAAGCCGGCAAGCGGACTCTCACGCAGCAGCCTGGGACCGGAAGCTGGTACACTCCTTTTGTTCTCTCCCTGACTGGGGACCTGAGACCCTTCTCCGGTCATTTTCCAGCCCTATTTCACCTGAAATGCCAGCCTAGATCTTCCATGGCCCCTCCTCTCAAAGTTCCCACCTCCCACCACCTGCATCCAGCCCCACCCCCACCCCCCGCCGGGCAAGCCACGGACAGCCCGCCTTATGAAGGTAGCATCTAGGGGGCACAGATCAAAAGGACCCTGTCCACACTGTGCCTACGGTCAGGGGTGGGGGCGTGGGAGGAGGAAGTGGAGTAGACAGGAAGGTGGTTGTTCAAGAAGAATAATGAAACAAACCTCAGGCAAGGCTTGTGTGGTCAGGCTCTCTGTTACTCCATTCTTGCCAAATACGTGACCTACCAGAAGAATGGAAGGAGACGGGCTGGAGATGGTCACACATGTGTGTCATCACCATGGCATCACCATGTGGGAGAGAAGGAGGAGCCAGAAAAGGAGTCGGGGAGGCAGCAAGGCCGCCCCACCCCCAGGCACCAGGAATCTTTAACAAGAAAGAAAAGGGAGAAAGCGAAAGAAACCGGGATGCATCCCAGACCTCTGCATCAGGGGCAGCCAGGAATCTGTTGATGGTACCCTGCTACGGGGGCCCAGAGGTCACAACCTTGAGCTCAGCAGGAAAGGCACATGCGTGGTGGTACTGAATGCAGAAGAGAGGGAGGGAGCTGCCCGTGTTAGCCAGCAGGGGGCAGGAGTGGAGCCCTGGCTGCGGCAAAGCTGCACCACCCCCCAAGCACTCAGTTCCACACTCCGGCAATGCTGAGTCCTCTAAATGTGAATTACTTCCCAACTGGGGATCAGCATGAGAAAGAGGCACAAGAACAGGGGCCTGCGAGAAACAGCCTAGCTGTTTTCTTTCTGGGCCGGCCACCTCTCTGTCCCTGACTTCCCATTTCCCATCATCCTCCAACTGACTTGAGCTGCTTTCTTGCACTATCCCTCAAAAATCATGGCCTTCACCTACTCAACTGCTACCTTCAGACCCAGTAACCACCAGAGAAGACCTCAGGAGAAAATTTAGGAGGCTCACAGAGCAGGTGAGCACTCCCCGCCCACTAGCCATTCCCCACTCCCTAGACGGGGCATCTGGACCTTCGGGCAGAACTTACCAAGGCTGCTAACAGAATATCCAGCAGTCAAAGGAAGTGTCATTCGGTTCCCTCTCCTAGGCCTCTGCCACCTTCCCTCCACCCGCTTCCGGGACAAATGCAATTGCCAAATAACTTTACCTCCCTGAAACTCTCCAGCTCTTCCACCACTACCCCCTCCACTCTACAAATTTCTGAGTAAAACACTGATTTGGTTAAAGGAGCAAAGGACTTGGCCCCAGAGGGAAAAGTCTGCCCGGCTAAGTGCAGGAATAGCCCTTGAATCGGAGAGGAGTGGCCCCCAGAAATAGGAGCTTTCGAAGCCGTCCCCACCCCAGGGCCGGTGCAGGAGTCAGGGTCTGGGGAATACTGGGACAGGGAAGGGCGGGGTTAGCCGTGATGGGGCTGGGGATGGAGAACCAACCATGACGACACAATGGAAGAGAGAGAAATATTAAGTTCTTCACTTAGGTTCAAAAAGCCAATGTCCACATTCGGGCTGGGGTTGTCCCGGCCTGGCAGGAGTTCGCACGTGACCTTTGAGTTACTACAAAAGGCCAACGTGGCCACTCTATAAAGAAAGGAACCACTTTTGTGAGAACACAGCATTCAGCCACAGCACTGGAACTATCAAGTACAAGTCTCAGGAAGCAGTGATCTATGCGCCAAGCCACTCAGACAACATGTAGAATATTGCGTTTCATATGTGCTTATTTTAGGGGAATGACTGATGATGACAAACTAGCAATTTCCTAGAAAGAGGACGAGGACAGTGAGTTGATCTGGGGACTGACACATAAGGCGGAAGGAGCTCCCCGTGGACAAAGAAGACTAAAGGAAGATGCAGACTGCTAGAATGGCCCAGAGTCTCATAACTCAGTGGACCTCCAGAGTCACACAGACACGTCTAGCGTCACACAGGTCAGCACGGGAGACCTGGAGACTCATGGGTCATAACGTCACGGGGTTTGAGAGTTGGAAAGAAATTGACATGAAGTCAGGTCTACTCCCATTTTATAGATGAGAAGCCTGAGATCAGAGATTTTAAGTGAGCGACGTAGGCCACAGAGCCAGAGGCGGCACGGCCAGGCCTGGAATTCAGTCCCTTCCTCACTCCAGCAGCCCCTTCTATGGACATTCCAGGGAGCTGTGAGTAGCAAAGGAAGTCAACATGTCCCGCCCTGTCTCAAAGCCACACGAGAATCACTGGTGATATGTGGCCGAGGGGAGAGGAGGAGGGTTTCTGTTGCAGGCCCAGGAAAAGAGCTGCCCCCCAATCAAACGCAGCCAGGCCTGGGACCAGCTGCCCTGTGAGGCAATGAGCCCGGCCCCTCCCCGGTCCCCGGAGGTCTTTGGAACAAGGAAGGGAGACTGATCTCCACCAATACTAACATTCCCAGGTTCCCACAGAGAAAAGGGGTCCCCGCACACTAGATCAGAAGAAGGATAAAGCCACAGTTAGAAGCAGGGTCACTGCTGAGGGTGCTGAATTAGCAAGGCAGCATGGGACAGTAGGAACAGGACTCTGCTCCCTGCGGCCACCTCTCTTCCAGGTTTAAGGGCTCCCAGCTCCTCCTTAATCAAAGAAAGGCTCAAGTAAGGACAAATTCTGACATCAGAACCACAACCAGGACCAGTGTGGTTCTCAAGCTCAAGGAGTAAATACAGCCTGTGCTAAAGCAGGCAGGACTCTCCTCGGGCACAGTAAAGCACCCTGGACCGGCAGAGTAATAAAACACTGTCACCAACCGCAGCAGGAAGCTCCCACGCTCTGTCACTTCCCCCAAGGGCACCTACAGCATTCTGGCCTGCCGGGCTCAGAGGCTCAGGTCACCAGTTGCTGCAGGTTGGGGACTGAACCAGATGGCCTTCCAGGTCTCAGGTCTGGCATTTCTAGACCTGCCCAGGAATCTTTTCAGCCATCCCAGTGTCCCCAGGGTGCAGGGAAAACCATCCGCCACCCTACAGCCCCCAAGGCTCTATAGCATTTCTCCCCCAGCTTGCGTTTTGATGTTTCGCGTAGTGACCACCACACATCTCCCTTCCTGTCTTGTTAAGTTAGCCTTGGCCGCCAGACCCAATCAGCTCACTGGCTTCTCTCCAAGGTGGAGAGAGTTCAACTCCTGGGCCTCCTTCCCTATCCAGTGACACTAATTCCTCATGGGTGCTGGAAAGTCCCTTTCAAGCCACAGCCAAAACTCTTCTTTTCTTCTTGGAGCCCAGATAAGCTGGGAAAAGAGATTGCTCACTGCTTTTGCAAGTTTCAGAGGTGAAAGTCACTGTCATAAAAAAAAAAAAAAATTGGCAAGAAGTCTAGAAATGATTCACGCTGAGAAGTCTGACTGGTTGAGTGCAAATTCATTCACAGCCTAATAAATCATCTGCAAGGGGGAGACAGGGGAGGACCGAGAGGCTCCAAAGAGGAAAAGTAGGGTGGGATCCCTAAGGCAGCCTTGACATCGTGGGTGCTACCTGGGGCTATAGCTCTTGCTGAAAGAGGATGGACATGGGGGTGAGTAAATAAAATAGTTTGGCTTGAGATTCAAAGAAACCTTGGCACGATTAGCTCCTACAGCCATACAGTCCCAGGGCAGCAAGACGCCCCCTCCCCCTCCCCCATTTCTGAGGCTTTCAAGACAAACATTTCAATTAAGTAAAGGTTGGGGGGAGGCACTGTGGGGAAGCCCGGAGAGGGAAGGGAGTTTGCAGCAGGACCAGGAATATGGGCATTGCCTCTATTTGCTCTGTACAGACCGAAATGGCCCCATCACCACCCACCCCATCTCCCTCCTTGGAAGCCACTGACCTTTGCCAAGAAGGTGGCATTCCTGATGGAGCCCACCATTTCTCCCCCCTTGGGGTGCACCTTGGCCACGTGCATCCACATACGCTCCCAGGTGTGGCTGTCGATGGGAAAGCCGCTCTTGTTAACGTGAAACAGCACCCCGCCGTCTTTGTCTTCCTCCTCTGAGCCCCCGCTGGTGGCGAGGCTCACGGGCCGTGCGTGGCTGCTCCGGGACCGGGTGCCTTTGGCGCCTTTGGGGTGGGGGCAGCGGTGAGTGTCCGCCGCAGAGCCGGTCATGGTGGAGCCGGGGCCGGGAGGGCGGGGCTGGGGGGCGCGCGGCAGCAGCGGGGGGCGTGTGCGCGCGGGCGCTGCGCGGGGTTCAGCGCCCCGCCGGGCCCGGCTCCTCCATGCCTCCGGCTGCCGCAGGACGCGCCAAGGGGGAGCGGCGGCGCGAGCTCCGCTTTCGGACCGTGCCTGAAATCAGCGGAGACACAGCGCGGTAAGTGGACACCCTGAGAAGCCGTGCCCAGTGGCGGTGGGGCCTCGGACTGTCCCCACCCCACGTCACTCCCGCCCCTCCACCCCCGCGCTGACAGACACTCCCAGGATTTGAATACAAGCTCCCAGCCCTGCAATTACCTCGAAAGGCGACTGGAATTTTGGCACAAAGCTTCACGCACACCTAAACACAGGGAGGGAAATAAAGGAGCGTGGAGGATGCGGAGTGGACGGGGTAGGGGGAAGAACGGCAGCTCGTGCGGCAAGAAAGAAGGTCCGCGCCACGCTCCACACGTTGCTGAGTCGCCAGATGTGGCCGAGCGCCGTTTCGAGCCAAGAACGTGCCGGCACGTGAGCGCCCGGGGGTCGGCGCGAGGGCGCAGCAGCAGCTTCGGCTTGCAAAGGCGGCCGCGTTTCTTCCAAAAAAGCCCTCCGGGGCGCCCAGATTTCCGTGGAAGTAGCTCCACCCGCCCCCCCGTTCCTGGAGTTCCCGCGCCGGGCAGCCGGGGGGCCGGCTGCAGGCGGAGCGCGGGAAGGGTGCCGCAGCTCCGGGACCCTACCTGGGGACGCTCGGCCTCATAGCCGCGGCGCCTCTGCGGGCGGCGAAGGCGGTGGCGGCTGCAGCTGCTGCGCCTGGGACCCGGGCTGCTGGGGCTGCTGCGGCTGCTGGGGCTGCTGGGGCTGCTGCGGCTGCTGCGGCTGCTGCAGCCGGCCCCTCATTCCATGTCCCATTCTCGAATGTTATTCTGTGACATATAACCGAGTCACCCGGGCAGCCGCCGATGTTCCGAATGCGTCCATTGGCCACCGCAACAAAGAGGGGCGGGCCCCCGGCTCGGGACTCTACAACCCAGAGCTGCGCGACGCCCTGATTGGCTCCGAGCTTCCCGGGCGGGAGGGGAGAGGAGAAGGGGCAGCTGCGCGGCCACGCGAAATCCGATCGCTGTTGCATCCAGGGGGCCCCGCGAGGCTGGAGCGTTTGTCCTAGGGACTTAAGGCCGAGTTCCACCAGGGGTCGTGGCACTGCGAGGGTTTGCAAGGGCGGGGAGCAGAGGAGAAGTGGGCACCTGAGAAGTGATGAAGTAAGGGAGGGCTCGTCGTTCGAGCGTCAGTAGCCAGTGTGTGGCAAGTGACCCCTGAGGAAGGCTGGACACAGTCACCTGCCTCTATCAGGGGGTGATGGGTGGTTCGGGCAGGGGCTGTCCACATAAAGGTACAAAACGAAATCTTTTTTTTTAAGATTGTATTTATTTATTTTTAGAGAGAGGGGAAAAAGAGAGAAGATGTGTGGTTGCCTCTCACTCACCTCCCACTGGGGACCTTGCCTGCAACCCAGGCATGTGCCCTGACCGGGAATCGATCTGGCGACCTTTAGGTTTGCAGGTTGATGCTCAATCCTCTCAGCCACACCAGCCAGGGCCTCTTTTTTTTTAAGTCCACATTACAAATTCCCCCAAACTGCACTACCTCTCACACGTCAGTCAGGACCCTGGATTGCCCTCTGGAGGGTGTGTGGAGTTATAAGAATTCTGCATCTCTGTCCGGCCCATTGGATGACATTTTGTTAGACTAGGTGCCCATCTGCCATGGCGCAGGGACCAAACCCACTGCTCCAAAGTACAGTAGCCAGTGTGTGGCAAGTGACCCCAGGAAAGTAAATCGGGTCCTTCTAGAATCTCCAGGCATCTTAGTCCTGGGCATTCAGGGATCAATATTGGTGTAAATATGAGAATTAAAAGTATAGTAATAGTATACAGCATAGCTGTAATTGCTGTACACCATTATGGCAGAAGAAACTTTATAAAGTTTCCTTTAAAGGAAGCTCAGGTAATATAATCAGTTTCTGACGGACATGACAGCTCCTTATATCTGGTCAGATTTTATAACTAGTGCTCTGAAATAGTGATTTTAGTCATTGATATACATAAATTACACCACCTCTTTACAAAGAAAATTCCCCCAAACTAACAAGGGGGTGCAGTCATGTGCTCCCTGACATTAGTCAAGAGTAATAAAGTATGTTTAAACCCAACCGCAACACTAAAACCCAGGTGGTCACAGCTACAGAGTTGGAGGACGGGGTGGAGAGGTGCTTCGAGGCCACGGGGAAGTGGGAGGTTCTTCCACACTCTCCACAGCAACACCTGTTCCTCCAAGGCCTCTTCCCCCACCCCCACCCCACCCCCATTTAACGAAAGAGAAGAGCAAGGTGAGGTGGGAAAAGCACCAGATGACTGACCTGGGGGCTGGCTCTAAGTCTTCATTTGTCACTTGGCTAAGCTGTGTGACCCAGAACAAGCCACTTGCCTGTTCTGGGCTTTAGCTTCTCTCTGAGAAGAGGAGAGCAGACTCCTTACTCTCCCAAGTCTGTTCGGGCTCTGAGGTTCTGTGGTTCTCTGACTTCCTCTCTTGTGGGCACCGAGGAGCCTGGCTCCAATATCCTCTCTCTTTAAACTCCAAGCCAGCACGCCAGCTTTGGGAGGGCGAAGCAGCGCTCCCAAAGCGTTGTGAGAGCAGCGCTAAGGTAACCTAGAATTACGGATGCAGTCGTCCAAGAGCCACTGATGATGGATCAGTTTCTGGAACTTCTCTTCCACGGGAGGGTGTGACAAGGGGCGAGTGCCAGCAGAGGCCACTGGAGTGTAGCCCAGAGCCAAGACCTGGGTGAGGACACGTGGACTCTGGGCCAGGCCTGCACCACTGCAGACAGAGCCCAAATACAGTCAATAATGAGAATAATAACTTAGGTCCGGAAATTATTTGAAGAATTCAATGAAACAAGCACACCTGAAAAGCATCCAGAAACTGGAAAAAAAATTCTCTCACTACATAGGTGCCTCAGTTTTCATTTCCTGATTAACAGAAAACCCGCCTCAGCGAACAATCTAGCTCCTCATCTCCAACATCCTCCCTGCCTCTTCTCTCACTCATCTTTCAGATCTGTCCCCTTCGCCTCACTTCCCTGGAGTTCCAGCTGCAGGAGACTAGGATTTCAGGATGAAGACCTGTGGGCAGAGGATGAGAACCTGGCCTCGTACTCCCTCCGGAGAAAACTGAGCTCTCAAAGCTCAAGTGATCAGACCAGTTGGTGAACATCGAAGAATGTCTGGCAAGTGTCACCTTCCTTGGCATCGATTCCCAGTGTCTGCACTCATGCCGAGTTTGAGAAACTGGTTACCCTGTTAAACCAAGGCCTGGATCCTGCCCTGCCTGAATCAAAATCCTGGAGACCAGGGAGGGTTATCATTTCATCCTCCTGCCCCAGATGCGTCAGGTCTCCCTGACAGTTCAATGAAAAGCTTTTGTTTTCATCTCCAGGACTCCAGTATTCTCTGGAGTGCGGTGCCACAGGAAGCCAAGAGACACATGAAGAGAACTGTGAGATTTACCTGTTTTTTCCCAAAAGGTGGTCAGAGGTCTTCGAAGGTGGGTTGTCCCAGTGAGGGACCAGGGATCAGAAGAGCCCTTTGGTTGGGAATCCTTTGGCATTTGAGAGCCATGCTACTTGCCTGGATCACCCACCTCTGTCCTCCCTTCCCTTGTGCACTTGGTGTTACAGAGACTCAGATGAACCCAGGCCTGACAGATGACGGCTTTGGAGTGTTCAGGTCATTAGTAAGAGTGACGTAGCCATCCATGCACGCAGTGGGACGGGGCCAACTTGCGCTTTGAACAGGGAAACCTGGTAGCTACATGCTCAGCCTCTGAGAGCATAGTCACATCTGTTCATTGGCATAAGGACTGGCACAGCAGAGAGGTGTGGAGGGAAGGTTTGGAGCGAGAATAACTGAGTCTAAATAGCATCTTATTACTCAAGTGCCAGGTGCTGGGGTCTCAGAGTCAAATAAGGCAAAAATCCTAACCCAGCAATCATTTTTCTAGCTCCACCACTTGTTGATGTTAATGGCCTATTAAAGAGTGTATCAGACACTTCTATGACCCTCCTCACATTGGTCGGACCTTGCCTTTCTGCTGGCTCCATCCCTGCCTCTGCAGCCAATTAAATCTGTGCGGTTCAGCCGCTGGGAACTGACCAGTCACTTGCCCAGCCAAGTCCTCCTTGAGGGCTGCTGCACAGCCAGGCTGGCCAGCCCCATGTCTGGAGTCTCTGACTCCTCCACTACTTCTGGACTCAGAGGAAATGCCACACTACAGGATGTGGCTTCTAAGCAGCCATCAAAGTGGTTAGATGATGCATCCCAGGAAATTCCCTGTGGCAGCGTTTTGACCAATGAAAAACAGGAGATGGGAGGGAGCTGGGCAGATACATTGTCTTTCATTCCTCCCTTCTATGGACTGGTCCCAGTCATGGTTTCCCACACAGCCTGTCTGGATATGTTCTGCATGGCTACTGAGATGCACCGGCTGAGTCACATGCCATGGCTCTTTGCAGCTGGCCCTAAAGCAGTTACTGCATGATAACACAGCACCTTGCCTCACTTCTCATCCTGGCCTACTTCATTTCCCTCTTCACTCACGCTGGCAGCCCTCTCCATCAGATTGAATTTTTTGCTTCAGATTTTTGTTTCCTCACAGAAACCGAGCTCAGGCAATTGGTTCCACCAGGGGTTCTAGGATGGATTTGGGGTTGTATTGCCTACCTGTCTGAAATCAATAGAGACCCCTTGGCTGGTGCTAACAAAGATGGCAATGACTCATATGTAACAGCACCACAGCTTTCACTTGTGTCCAATTGGGGTGCACTGGATGGAGAGCAGGTCATTAGGAGATCAAGCAGCTGTGGCACTCAATCTGTGTGGAAACAGCGATAATTATAAGGTACCAGAGACCTTACTAGAAACAGACAGTGACAGGCTCAGGGCAGTTAGTTACCAACTCACGGAATGCTCTGGAAGCCAGGGAGCCTCCGTGGAAACTTCACTGGAGAGCCTTATTTCCTGCAGCCACAGGATAGACTTAAAATCAGGCCCAGAATGTGATTGCAGGGCAGCGGGACTGCCGAGGACACTGAACACATGACCTTCATGGCTGCCACGGCAAGTCCAGGGCAGAACCCTGAGACCTGGAAGAGAGATGTCTTGGTGAATGAACATCCTGACCCTTCAAACCCTCTGAATGTTCCTGCCTGAAGAAGAACCCCTTGTCCATGGCTAGTTCTCCACACCTGGCCCTACTGCTTCCTGCTTCCAGCACCATCCAGAGTCAAGGTGCAGCAAAACCTGCACTGGGACGGAAAAGCCCTGCTTGGGGAGATAAGCCTACCTGCCAAAGATATTTGCAAAACTTGGCTGCCGTGAACTGGCAGGAACTGCGGAAACATGTGTGGGAGTAGATCTGGAAGATGTCACATTTGGGGGCAGGAGTGAAGCAAAAAGCTCAATGGGGAGAATTCACTAATTTGGGTATACTCATACAGAACTCGGGATTTAATATTTTTAGCCGGGAAGCCTGGAGCTTGTCCTAATAGTTTGCTGAGATGCCTCTTTGAAGCCTTGTCTCAACAATGGCCTATCGTAAGCAAAGTGGAGAAGCCAGACTTCCTTGTGTGGTGTTGGGGAAGGCATCAGAAGACTCCAGAAGGTGGGACTACTTGAATTTATGATGTATGGCTCAAAAGCTGACCCCCTGGCCAGTTCCCTGTGCTGGCCTAGACGACACTCCCTTCACTAAGGCAACAAA